ACTTGCCTTGAATCGGACAATCTATCCTGTCGGAAAACAGTAACAAAGAAAAGACAGAAGGAAAATAAAGACGATTCTATAGCAGAAGAATTATCTCTACTTCTTAACTTCGAGACAGAAGCAAAAATGTATTCGCGAGATCACAAAGTAGCTGGAAGTCGGAAAAAGTCTAAGAAAATCCAATCTATCGACATGCCAGCCATTCTGCAAGCATGGAATTCAATCTTTGGAGATGACAAGCAAATCTTGAAGATGAAAAAGCTATCGCAGTTGATTCAACAATTTCCGAATGAATCCCTCCGTCATTTATTGCATTCCGATGGAACAGGCCATAAAGTTAATCTCAGCGTCCTACCTTACCTCAACGATATCCTCTCCAGCGCAAATCTTAATACGTATAAGGATTATTTGGCAAAAGGCTTGTTTGATGAGTATCTCAATATTTTGCTCATGATGTGCTCGGTGTTGAGTTGCGATTCCTTTCAAACACAACACGATCATTCCCATGCCACGCACAAAACTCATTTCTTCTCAATTTTGCTGGATTGGACAGAAGAATTCATAAAAGCATTGTTCAACATGAAAAACTCTGAATCAAGAAAAAGAAATGGATTGCTCAATTTGATGGAAATTCAGGCTTTTGAGGAATACATCAAATCATGTTTAGACTTGACCTTCACCGCGTACAAAAATCTTTTCAAGGGGTCTGAGGAATTTCTCTTCAAATTAATCAGGAATGGTACTGATTGCTTGCTGTTCAACGGAAGTCGAGGTCTGCAAGACATAGGGATGCATATTCTCATTGAATTGTACTCAGAAAAAGACTCCAACAAAAAAATTGTGTTGGAAGAAATATTTCACATGATGGATGATGATCGTTTGAAAACTGGAATGAAGAAAATTCAAGTTTTGAATTTGGAATCTTTGCCCAGTGTACACATACAATCTCTGATACTGGTTCAACTTTTTCAGTCTTGCTCCAGCGAAAATGAACTTGACGGTCAAGTGAAAGTCTTCCAACAACCCATTGAAGGGTTCATGAACTTGTGAGTGTAAAACTTGACATTATCTTCGAACTAACCAATTGTTTTAAAGATTTGAACAACGATTTCTCGCAAATTCTTCTAATCCAAAAAGTGATTCTTTCAAGGATTTACCGTGTAAATTATTTTTGTCACAGTTAATGGAAGACTTTTGTAATTTGCTGACATGCAATTACCTTCCAGTGGTTCATCTCATCATTGAAATCTTTTTGGAACGTCTTGATCTTGTTGTGCAGCAAAGCTTTCATAGGGCTCATTACAAACTTCATGAATTTTATCGAATGATGATCGTTGACATCCTGGGAATCCTTATTTGCAGAATTGCCAAAATGATCAAGGACTATAATTCCGAAAAATCTGAGTTCAATCTTGCCAAGTGCTTTGATTCCGACGAGCGAGATCATCTGTACAAAACCAGAAACCAGCAGATCCAATTCTGTTCTCTCAATCACGGCAAAACGAAGTTGAATGCGCCATTGCAGATTTTGGAAAAGACAGGCGACGAAGAACAATTGATCTGTGAAGAATCAAAACAGCTTTTGCTTAATTGGTTGTGTTCAAATCAAGGTGAAATGAAAGAATTGTCTCGTTCAGCCTATTACTATCTCTTGGCTCTTTGGTGCACACCGAAAGATAGCGGCCATGAAGTTGGATCTTTGTATTGGGAATCAGTAAGAAAAACTTCAGCTTTTCTTGATCGAAACCGCGAAAACTTGCAACCTACAAAACAAATTGGTATGATTGTTCGACGCATACTGCATGAAGGCTCATTTTATACCAAATTTTCGTCTCGTGCAAATCGTATTCTCATCAACTTGATAAATGAAGGCAAGAATGCCGAAAAAGTCAAGGTTTTGAAAGTTTTGAACGAGATCTTGTCCATTGATCCTGAACTCCCGCATCCAATCTTTGTTCAGAAAATCGAACAATCCTTGCTCTTGGATCCAGACAATGCAAACATGAGGGCAGCTGCAATTGAAGTGTATTGCAAGATGGCAGTCCAGAAATTTCAAAAAAATAGAAAATCCTCAGAATTCCAAAATTACTTTGGCATAATTTGTGGGCGAAGCTTTGACACTTCTATTCGAGTACGACAGGCTATAATTGGGTTCCTCAGGGAAATTGCGTTTTCTTCAAGATTCTACATACATGGTTCTGTTGAGGAACACGCTGAAAAACTTGTTGGGTCAACAATCCAGAAGGTGAAGGAGGATCTAAGTTTGTCTTATGGCAAGATTGAAGGATACAGCAGAAATGAGAAAGTATTTCATGTAAGATACGGTGTCAACGACCTGCAAGAATCGATCAATTTCTCAGACATTCTTTATCACTTAATTCCTAGTTGTATTGAAGAGTTGGGAATTCATGGGCAGCACTCTGAACTGCTGATTGAATGTTGTGATCAAATGTCCGAAATTCTGCAAAGACAGGAAGATGATAGCATTCGGGAGCTGTGCATGTCTTTCTTTATGGATCTGTGGTTTTCGAACACATCTCATGCACCTCTTCAATTTTGTGTCGAGGAATTACTACGATTCTTAAGTCATGACGGGAATGAGCGGGACGAAAATAGTAATAGATCATGCTTAGAAGCAATTTTGCAATTCTTACTCAAAGATAAGATGCAGGCACGAGTCGGACATTTATATGTCGAATTGATATTCTCGAGAATCAAACATTGCAAATACAAGTCATCAAGCACAGATACAGATGAAGGAGAAATTTCAAAGTCATTCTGTGAGTCAAATTGTACGAAGGTGCTTGCACTCGTGAAATTGATGATCCCTTGGTCCAAAACTTTCACGCAATCCTTTGCAACACACGTGGTAGATTTGATACCATTGTTTCACATTGCAGATGATGCAAAGGGGCAGACAACGATAATCAGTCACCTACTCGATCTGGTGATCACACTTTCGTCTAAATTGAATTGCCTGCCATTGGATTTCGAAACTTTCATCTTGCGAGCTTACGGCACTGGTTCCTTGAGGTTGAGCGATCCAAAGCGATGGACCAATGTGGAAGATCTCAAGAGAGCAGTCAAATGCTTGTGCTATTTGATCAAGTGCAACAGGACCAAAAGTTCTGTAGACTTTCTCCTCAGGTGCATGAAACAGTACTTGGCTTTTCTGCAAAGGTATATTTCAAGCCCTAAGCAGGAAGATAATGCATGGGTTGCCCGCGCTCTAATTCTCTGTGGTTCTATCGTTAGATATTCATCGATTTGGTCGAGTGATAGAGAAAGTATCGAAATTTTAAGGCAGTCAAGGGACGAGCTATACTGTATTTGCATATCCCGTTTTTCAAATCATTCAGATGAATCTGTAAAGCGTTGTGCAATTAATTCCATCGGCGCAATTTGTTTGAATGATCCATGCAAACTGCTTCAAAACGCATGCATGAAGCTGATGATGAAACATCTATCTGTCGATGCAGTGCCTGTACTGCAAATCCAGATTCTCAAGAACTTCGTTGATCTCTTTGAAGCTGAAGAAAATGAACTTGCAAGCTTATCCAACAATTACGGTCTATTGCAAAACAAGACCGAAGCACCACATTTGATCCGTATATCAGATACATCTACAACGGTGATGCATAAGTTTCATGGGATGATCCTCGAATTATCACTTTCCACTCACTTTGGCGTGAGATTTGAAGCTATCAAATTGATATCCGTCATAATTAGGCGCGGTCTTACAGCCTCGTATATATGCTTACCTTTCCTTTTGGCACAACAGGCAACGTCAGATAAGGCATCTTCATTGGCCTTGAAGCTTCTCAACTCTATCTATGAAAAGGATTCTCTTCACTTTACTGCTCACATGTTCTGGGATGGAATATGTAAATCTTACAAGCTCTGTGAAACTTCCCAAAACTTATCTTCCGATGCATTTTGTGCTGCTTTCAAGTTGATAACCGCTTCAGGAAGGGAAAATGCCTGCAAGTTCGTTAGGCAACTTTTACATATCTTAATATCAAAAATTTACGTTGTACCGGAATCCTTCGAGAAAGATTCAGGATCTTTGGGGACATCTTATTCGTTCAAGCTCTATCTCGCTGTGATTATTTCACAATTTCCATACTTTACAATGGACGGACCACTTTATCTCCTTTCCTTGACGCATCAGAGCATATCAAACTTATCAGAACCGTGCTTGTCAGTCATCAAATCAGATCAATCAAGGCATGGTGACGAAAGGCTTCGAACAAATTTAGAGTATCAAAGCGTTGCTTTGCTTGCAGAATTGCATGTGTTTGTTCAGAGCAAGTATGGGATCAAACCTGATAAACTGAAAAAGTTTCTAGATTCAAAGTGCATTGAAAAGTCTCCAATTAAGTCAGAGATGAAACCAGACAAGGTTTTCAAATCGCGGATGCTCTTCCATCAGAAAGATGATTGCTTTTCTGAATATATGCAGGAATTGCAAGATTTGCTATGCTTGACATTCTGCAATGAACAGAAGAGAGTCCCTGATAAAACTCCGAATCAAGAGGACACTAGAAGCCAGACTCGTGTTCAGGATTCGATGGTGTTGTCAAAAGTAACTCAATCAGAAGCTCCTACTTCGCTTCTGCATCAGGGAAATTGCAGGACACATCAACAGACAGAAGATGTATACGCAAGAGGTATGCGGGTTGAGCTTCTTTTTACAGACGGTGTGTGGTACCCTGGAACAGTAACAAAAGCAACCAAAACGAAAGTATATGTGGAGTTTGACGATGGAGATAGATACCATATCTTGATTCCGTGCAACGAATTTCGAAAAATCAAGGCAGATTAGATTTGTAGTAGAGTCTGATGGTACAGATGACAGGAAAATGCAAAAGTAGACATGGAGAAATTGCCAAATACCAAGAAAAATTCCAGCAGCACAGTATTATCTCGATTATGGATTTTGGTAGTAAAGCTTTATTGTATCTCTCCCGTTCTCGTTGATATTCGCTTGTATGGAAACTCTACGTTTCCTGAATCACCACCGTAGGTACGACTGACACCGAAAGCATCTGAACTTGTTGCCACTGCTCTTCCACTTGCATCAAATCTTTCAACTTGTTTTCCTGTTGTCGCAGCAAGCAGCTAAACGAAAGGATTCGTCAGGTAATCGAAATAATCATTGATGAGAATGTGGTGACAGAGGGATAGAAGATGAGAGAGAAGTGAACGAAGTGAGTCAGAGATGATGATTGTGCAGAGAAGAAGGAGAAAGTTCAACGCAACCTGTTCAAGCCTTGCAGTCTCTCGCTGTGCTTCAACTGCGATCATTCGTGCGTCATAGGCCTGCATTGCAAACGTGAGAGAACGTGGAGGATGAAACAGCTCGAGACCTCTGCTTCTGCTTGTGCGGCCCTGCGGAGTAATCTTGATTGCTCTTCCATCTGCCAAACAAACATTAACTTCTGCTTAAAAGAACTGGACAACAAAACAAAGAAAAGAAGAGAGAGCGAACAAGGAGAATAAGGAGAACAGGGAGAAGGAAAAGGATAAGGAGGATATGGAGAATCAAGGTGAAAAAGAGAACAAGGTGAACAGGCAGAATAAGGAGAATGAGAGTACATGAACGAGAGAGGGGGAAAATTCGATCAACGTACCATTTCTATCTGTTTCTTTGCTTCCTTCCGCATCTCCTCAGCCTTTTTTTTGTATTGAGTCGTCGATGCGTTCTCAAGCAAAGCAACAAGACCTGCTTCTCGAGGGTCAAAGCTTCCTCCTCCAGCTGTTTGTTGAAAAATCGATTCTCGTCTGCCCATGGCAGGTAAGTGACAGAACACTGAGAATATGAAGCATCACTCTGAGAAGATCCAGCAGCTGCAGATGATGTTGGATAAGCAAACTTGCGACTGGAGTCAAACTCAATAGTTCGCGTTGCAAACTTGCTGTTGAAGCCGATGGTGGAGACGACACTCTGAACTCCCTCACTCGGCATAGGATGTCGGATCTTGTCTTTCTTGTTGTCGTTCTTCTCTGCTTCAAACATCTTGTCCTTTAACCAAGGTGTCGAATAGAGTTGAATGAGATCCAACAGGATCAGGGGAGAACTCTTATGAACCATCCTAGACTGGTTCTGTAACGAGATGGTAGGAAGCTGGAGGGAGTTGGCAAGGTCTGGATTTGACTGCAAACAAAGGAAGAGATCTTGATAGCGCAACTTGTCCCCCCTGGCACGAAACATAAGGTTCTCAACTCATATACAATCCTCTTTCTCTCACCGACTCAGCTCTTCATTGCGGGATCCAATGCCGCTCTTCACCGCCATTTCCAACACCATCAGCAAGCTTGCCAGCTTGTCCTCTGTCAAGATCGGGCGCATGTCAGCATTTGCAGGCGGCTGATTCCAGGAGTAGAAGGAACGGACGATTCCGTCCTTGAGGAAGAAACCACGGAAGCACAGAGAGTCTCTCCCCCTGGTCAGAACAAACTCTCCAATCTCGTTGTTCATGCTCCAGGCTCCCTGCACATTCTTGCCGCCGTCCGTCACGAAACAGCTAAGCTTCCCGTTCTTCCACTGCCCCAGCACATGATTGTTCCTCTTCACGAAACGAAACTCTATCGGGGACTGATCGACACTTTCGTACCACCGGAGCTCAACGAGTTGCTGTATCGTAGCCTTCACTCCTACATCATTCTGCACACTTGTGATGGCTTTTGCCCACAACTCTTCGCTGGTCTTGTTGGATCCACTGGTAGCAGAGTTGATCTTCTTCTCTATCGACTTCTTCCTCTCTTCATCTGTCATAGCCATGAAGCTCTTGATGTTCTTAGTCGTCGCGGGTGTTCCGAGCAACCTGTTTGTCTGGGCCTTGGGCTTGCTGTCCTCCTCCTTTGCCTCCTTCCTTCCCGTTTTTCCTTCCATTAGGTTTCTGGCCTTCAACATCTCTATCTCTTCTTCAGTGGACATGAACGCATCTTTGACTCTGTTCAGAGTCTGCAGTTCTGCTCGCTTCTTTTCTTGTTCAGCTGCGACTCGCTCCTGCATGCTCTGCTGAGCCTGCAGGAACTGAGCTTCTTGCTGAATCAGTGCTTGCTCCTGCAGAAACTTGAGCTGCGTCCTGAGCATTTGCTGCTCCTTCACTAGAAGGTCGTGCTCATGTAGCTGGATCTGAGCTTGAGCTGCTCGAATCTCATCTGAGTCTTTGGGGTCACAATCGAGTTTATCTTTCTCTTCCGCCAGGTCATACTCCTCCACGATCGAATTTTCCCAGTTCTTGATAAATCCTTCGGAAACGTGTCAGCTCGAGCAGAACACAACTAGCGCTACCTAAGAAGCCCACGGCAAGAAGACCCTGCCTCCTCCTCTTCTTCTGCATTTCTTCGTCTCTGCGTCCTTTCCTTCCCCCGCGGAGTATGACTTTGTCTTCCTGCTGCCGCTTTGCACTTACATACTCGAAATCAGCCTGTAGGACGCGCGACTCTCCTGTGCTCTTCCTCGGCTTCACTTCATGGACGCCTGAGGAGACCCAACGATGCTGCCACATGTCCTCTTCCTCGGACTCCTCCGACTCGCTGAAGCCCAGCCCGGGAGCAGGTTCGAAGTAAGAGGCGACGCTTCTCCTCCCCTCGACAAGGTTGAATCGCTGCGACATCCTTGCCTGCCAACATTAAAGTCGTTAGATCCTCCCGACTGACTCAGTACTCGTCTCTCAGCACTTCCTCCTCCCTCTCCCTCTCCTCCCTCTCTCTCAGTGCTGTCAAGCTGCGTTCAGAGCCTCCTCCCGCATTTTCAACGGCTCTGTCTACAAAAAAGTTGAAAAAAAGTCGACTCACTGTCACTGGGTGACTCCCGAGGGCCGCTTGCCCCACGCCGTTGAAGCTTCAACGGTCACGAGTCTAACGACTCAGTCCGGATCCGAGTGACGCCTCAACTGAGTCAGTTCTGCGAGTCCTGCGAGTCCTGAAAGCTTCAAGGCCCGGCCGGGCCGCTGTCACTCGGAAGCACTCGGCACTGGGCCCGGCCAGTGCTGCCGGGGCCGAAGCATGACTCGTGTGATGATCTGAGAGGCCAAAGAGGAGGGGTCCTCAAGTAGGTCCGAAGGAGGGGTCACCTCCTCATCATGCCGGGTATGTCTACAGTTCATCCACCCGGTGACCCTCCCATCCCCAAGGGTTTCTGGGAATGAACCCGGTGGTGTCATATCCCCGGTGGTACGGTCGTATCTCGACTACCACTGACGATTGTTGAATGACCCTACCCCCCCTTCCCAAGTCTCGCTATGATAGCCACACTACCCCCCATTACACAGTAGGACAAATTACTTACAATTGAGGGGTGAGGGGTGAGGGGGGGGTTCTGTATTGTAGTAGGGGTGGGTCCCATGAATTACTGCTACCCCTTCAATGGTCTGATATGTCATCCTCAGAAAGTGACGGGGTCGGCAAAAGACAGGGGGTAGAATTAGTGGGGGTGGTAGTTAAGGGGGGTAGATGGCAGAGACAAAGGGGGTAGGGGTAGCATCAAGGATACTACCAGTGTGCCGTATCTTAGGGCCCCCCACCCCCACCCTTATTTTTCCCCTAAACCCTGTTCCTCAGTACCCACCACCCCATTCACCGTCTCTTTTAGTAGAAAACCTCTTCCATCATGGCAGCTCCCCCGGCACTGCGATGGTACGCGAACAATGTGACTCGTCTACCATGCTCTCACTGCGATCTATGCGAAACCTTTAACAAAATGTATACTTCTTGACATGTCTGACAAGAACTTGCTCACTTGAGCTCGTTTTGTTCAATCTTCATCAAAACCCCTTGTTCTCCCCTGTGATACTCGCAGCAACATCCTCATACATGTCCCCTTATCCCTGTCTCACATGACAGTGCTTGTCATCTTCGATGATGCATCATTTCAACGTTAGATGCTGAGCACCAAGATTTCTTTGCATGAATTCTCATTATTGTGCCGATATGACTCGTTGATTTCTTTCAGAGTGAAAGAACGCGCTAGATGTCCAAGCACGAGGAGAGGAAGGGAAGTGTTTCTCCTACTCGAGGATCAGTAGCTTCTGCCTCGAAGCCCTCATTCCGTGCATCCTCGCCGAATAGAAATCGTTCAGAATCGTTACCTCAATCCAAGCTTTCCTCGGATGACTTCATCTCTCAATATCACTCGTTGGAAAAATTCAAGAAGAAGGTGAAGAAGACGGAGGCTCAAGATGCGAAGCCGACGGACTCAAAGCGTGCGCTGTCTCCTGCAAGAGAGCGTGCAAAGAATTCTTTTGTGCACAACTCAAGCGTCAAACTCTCACAAAAATCCTTCATTTCCAAGTATGAAATTCTTTCTATGGCAGCGCCACCAAAACCAGTGCCTTGTAGCAGCGGATGTGTAGGAAACGATAATTTATCAACCCATCATTGCGAAGAGTGCAGCAAAGATCTCTGTCGGTTTTGTGTCCTCGAACACAGTCAGAATGATTGGTCCGCCACACACACCCTCATCCCTCTGGCAGAATATCGGCTGACTGATCTGAAGAAGGCCGGATGGAATACTCGCGGAATTCAGGGGCTTGGAATTGCCGAGGACGATGAAACTATCGATAATCTTTCCAAGGTCTTTGGGAAGTCACATTCGCAGCCAGTAACCACATTGATGCTCCCCAGGATTGGGAGCCGAGGGTACGATTCAACGAAAGGGTCGGAGGATGCTTTCTTTCAATTCAATCGGGTCTCTTCTTTCGACTCTTCTTTGTCGCGAGACCATTTGAGATCATCGCCCAAGCATTCAAGCTCATTCTTCAATCGACCATCAAGCTCACATCGCACAGAACGTGATAAATTATCCTCGGATACCATCCTTGAAAACCTGCCGGAAGAAACAGAAGCCTTGAACGTTGAAGAAAACCATGACAAGCACCATGAAGAGTTTGTCAACTTCTTTGACACGCTAGAACCTCCACCTGTCCCAAAGCTTAGGGCTCGTTCTCCGGATTTGCGTGGGTCCAACAGAGCTATGTTTACATCCAACTTCAATGCTGAACAGAAGCAGAAACATGCCGAGGAACAAAATGGTCGCCTTTCTGGGAATCGTGCTCAGCGTCGTAACAGCCCTGAAAAATTGAGAGACTTCAACAATGACGTTGATTCCAAGTCTCCTCTAGAATCCCCCGTCGGCGCGTTCTCGCGGGCTACCACTTTCAGGATGATATCAACGATGACGGGCTATGGGTTTAAGGGTTTCCTCGAGCTGAAAGCAGACCTCTCACCTCGGTCAGCTCCAGAGAAAGTGTTTTGTGAGGTCACAGAGAAACATTTCTTGATCTCTCGTGCTGCAGACCTCGAGAGGCCCCTGTTCAGACTGCACCTGCTGGAACTTTTGTGCAAGATCCCAGCTGACATGCCAGACACTCTCCTCCTTGTCACTGTCGAAGCTGACGCAGCGAACGAGACCGGATGCCAACGATCACTCCCAGGAGGGAAAACTTTCATCGTCAGCAAAGACAAGAATGAGGCCAAGGCCTGGTACTCGCAGATCCAGGAGAACCTCAAACTTCTGGAGACTCTGCCTGAAAAGGAGCAGTATGACCTAGAGGACCTGGAGACTGACGCCAAACTGACCGTCGGCTCTAAAGTGAGGCTACAGGGGTTCAAGCCGACAGGATCGTTTGCTCAGTACAACGGGATGGAGGGATGCATTGATGACATAGACCCGACGACAGATAAGTTCTACGTTGATGTCGACGGCAAGACGATCAAAGCAAAGCTCGAGAACCTGAGGGGGATACGAGAGCTGTTGACCCCTTTCAAGCGCAGAGAGATGCAGAAGAAAGCGTCTGCCCTCCTTGATGAGATATCGCAAAAGAACAAGAAAGATGAGAAGTTCCTGGCTCAAGCTCGGAAAAAACTTTCGAGTATCAAATAAACTTCATTGATAACATAGTTCGAAAGGATGAAATGTTCTTCTTACAATTACATTCTATTGATATTCAATCACCTTCTTTAGTTTACAAGCTGTTACTTTTCAATCCTCGACTTGTCGACATATTCACAAACATTTGCAAATCGTTAGATACATCCAGCAAATTTTCTACCGAGCGACTGATAATCTGCCGTGGGGAAAATAACAAACACACGAATGTCAGGTCGAATTACATTCTCATGAACATGACTGACATGCATCACTTGGGTGGAACGCGTTGAATCTTCTTCGCAGTTCTGCATCATTGCAACCAAAACCTGTTGAACATCAGACTTCCTTCTTGTCTGTTGAATTCGATCTCACCATCTCGATCACATCAAAAAGATTCTTCACTTCATTCTTGATTGTATTTTCTGCGATGGCGTCGTTCAAGGTCAAAAATCTTACCACTTGTCTCACCTTCAGTGACAGTCTTGGGTTGATCCACAGCATTGAACTGGTTCTTCACAAGTCAGACCAACACGAGAGCGAGTGCAGGCGCTACCGTGAAGTCTTGCAGCAGAAGCAGGTCATTCTTACCATCTCTCTTCAGCCCTCGCATCTGTTCGTTCACGGAAGAAAACTCTCGCGTGAGTTTCCTGATGTTTCCTTGAAGATCCGCACTCGAGCACAAGACGGCTGAATCGAGCTTATCGATGGGGTGAAACAAGTCCGTCACAGTCTGAATGATCCTCCTCAGCTTGGACAAGACCCTTGCCGCCTCCTCCTCGCTCGTTTGCCCCTCAACCTTGGCCTCTGGCTTCTTTGCCGGCACAGCTGGGAGCCTCTTGGAGGAGGCGAGAGCGCGAACTTGAGCCTCGTGCTCTTTGCAGACGACAATCCCATCGAAGATCGGGAGGATGCGACCCGACCTCACGACCTTGTCCACCAGCGCAGGAGCATGGTCCACCTGCTTGCCGACCCCGTCACTTGTGCTCGGGCCGCCGTCCCACCTCCTCCCCGACCTTCAAGCGCCGAGCAGCCAGAGCAGCTGTCGGAAGGTCGATGTAGCTGCAGCCCTGCGGGAGGTGGTGAGGAGACAGCAGCTCGACGTGCCCTTTCTCGTTCTTGGGCACTTTGCCATCCCGAGCCCTTCCCGGCTGCTCAGCAAGGTCAACGGATCTCTCGAGGAAAGAGACTGAGCTACCTCAAACGGCTCCACCTGCCACTCCCCGAAGAGCTCGCAGGCAGAGAGTCGATGGAGCTGCGCCAGGGGCGTCTCCCCCCCTTGGGTCTGTCGCAACATGCTGTTGTGAAGGTCTTCCAGCATCTGATCGCCATGTTGTCAACCTGCCGTTGCGTCCTCTCCTCCCCTACCTTGACTGGAGCTTCGCCTTCCCGCACGCTGTAGAGGATCTTCTTCCACTCGTCCCTCGTCCTCAACGTCGAAACGTCTTCCCTCCTGTAGATCTTCTTCATCGCATCCTTCACTGCGATCGTTCCTATCGGTGCCGGCCTCTTTCCTGGCCGGAATACCTACAGCAGTGTCAATGTCCTGCTGCAGCAGCTGCAGCAGCTGCTTCCTATCCCCTTTCTGGTCCTACTCCCTCCTCCTCTTCGTCATTCGATCTTCCTGTTCTTCCTCTGCTCACCTCATTCTCAGCCAAACCGTCTTCAAGCACAAAGTAAGGATGCTTGCGATAGGCATCCGGGTTGGTTGGAAGCTCCTCCTGCCTTCCTGCCTCTTGCCGTCATCTTGTCGCTCCTTCCGAGCAGGAGCAAGACCTTGCTGCACGAACTCATGCTCCTCGAGTAACTGGCTGACGTCGTGCTCCTGCGATGAGCTTCGAGGAGTCAGATGCGACAAGTGTGAGGAGGAGATTCGACCTGCTCCGCATCATGTCAAGTACATCCCTAGCGATCGCCTCTCCTCTCCCCCGGGCGGCGTTGACTTGCGAGAACCTCCGCACGTACCTCCTGGTCACGTCAACGAGCCGCTGCCTCTCCACAGCAAAGACGTAAGAGACGGGGGCCTGGGAGGAGCGATGGAGCTCCCCGTCCATGGCGTCCGGCGAGTTGATGGCGCCGGTAAGGGGGTCGCAGTGGATCCATCTCATGTCCGGGAGCAAGACTTCGTTCCAGCATCTGTGCGCTCCTGCTGGGTCGCTGCTGGACTCGGGCTGGAGCGGGTGGAGGCAGAAGACGAGGCGGCACCTGAGGCCGACTCGTCTGGAGGAGGAGCATGTCAGCGAAGCGAGGGAGGAGGACCGCGCGATCGACCTGCAATGTGCAGCGAACAGGACGGGGAGGAAGGAGGGGTCTGGGTGGTTCAACAAAGTCACTCTACAGCGGGTTAGGGAAGTAGTCCACCTCCTCTCAAGTTGGGGATCTCTTCCTCCAGCTGCTTCCTTGCCTCCTGCTTCATCTCCCTCCAGCAGCAAGCTAGGAACGACTTCCTCCTCGACTTGTCCATTCCTGTCTTCAGCCACTCCTGATGGACCTGGCACAGAGAAGAGTTCCGCGCTGGAGGCCCCATAGAGACTGAGGGACCCGCCGCGTGTTCCCTATGAAGGCTGCTAGCACGCCTCTCCGCATCGTTCCTCAGGTGGGAGATGTAGCGGGAAAGAGAAAGTTCGAAGCTCTCGGGCTGGAACGTCAAGTTCTGTAGGGCCTCGACGTCAAGCGCGTCCACTAGTTCATCACATGCCAGCAGGTGCGAGCACAAGTTGGCGAGTTCGCACATGTACCTGACCATAGAAGGTTCAGTGGAGGAGGAGGAGGAGGAGTTGGTGGTGGAGCAGAGCAGGAGGAGGAGGAGGAGGGTGATGATGATGGTGATGGTGATGATGGTGATCATGATCATAATGATGATGGTGAGGATGATGATGATGAGAGGACGAGGACGAGGAGGAGGAGGAGGAGGAGGACGAGGACGAGGACGAGGAGGAGGAGCAGGAGGAGGAGAGATAATGAGGAAGAAAAGGATGAGAAGGGGGAGGGGAGAAAGAAACCTCTGAGCATTGAGGACGTTTGCGAACCAAGAGCGATCAAGGGCACGGGACGGGAACTCGTCTCCTTGCAGAGCCTCTCCGTGCCCTCCTACAACGACGGGGTTGACTTGAGCCACCAGCATCGACGTGGCCCTGCCTCCACCCTCTCACTGCTTATCCTATCCTCCTTCAGACAAGTTACCTTCGTTTCTGAGGGACCTCGGTGCACTCCTTCCCCTCCTCCACCAGCGGGAACTCTTCCCTCGTGACATTCACAGCCTCGCCGAAGTTTTCTTTCGCACATTTCTCACAGATCTGTGGGATCCTGCCAACGGGGCGCTATGAGCATGCGAACGAGACAAGGAGGTGATGCTGGTACAGCAGGAGCAGGAGCAGGAGCAGGAGCAGGAGCAGGAGCAGGAGCAGGAGCAGGAGCGAGCAGGTGTGGAGCAGGTGGAGCAAGAGTAGGAGGGGTAGCGCAAGAGACTTGGCGTGGGTCCAGAGGGAGGATCGTGTGTGGGGTTCACCTGTTTGAGATGATTTGCTTCAAGGAGACGACTCTCCCTGCACAGCTCGCCTTGTGTTGACAGCAGAACTGAGGGGATCCTCTTGCGACCTTGCTCGCCCTCCTGTCTTGGCCAGCAGCTTGGTGCACATGGGCTCGTTCAATGCAGACAAAGAGCAGCAGGGCATGTACAAGCCCGACTCTCATTCGCCGCGGCATGGCGCTGGAAGTTCCTGCTCGATCGCTGACCCCTCTCTCATCTCCAACTCCTCTCTTCTACCTCCATGTTCCTCCATGCACCCTCCCCTCCCCCCTCCCCTCCCCCCTCCCTCCTCCCTCACGCTCATTTTCGTTTCCGTAAACCCTCCAGCAAACCTTGTAATTTCAGTGTGGTTGTACCCTCGCTCAGCTCCTGCCGCGCTACCCCTATCCCCAGATCGCTACCGCTTCCTCCCAGACCTTCGCTTCTGCTTCCTCTCCACTACCTCGAAGTTAGACAGAAGATTTTGAGCTCTCAGATACCAATACAGCGCACACTCCGAGACAAGTGGTAGGTAGACCGACATCACTCACTAACATGTTTCCAAAGATCAATGAAATCATAATACTGGATACAAGCAAACTGCACAAGACGGCTGTCCACTTGCTCCATAGAGGCAGCAGACATACAAGATTCGCCTCTCCTTCGATCGGTTTATTCACTCGAAGAAATCAGCATCCCCCGCTCGGACATGATAATCTATTTCTTGTAATAATTTACTTAGGGCAAGATCCTGCACCACAAGTCAGATCACAGACTGCCAGCTGTTGGCACTGTGACAGGAGGAGGAGGAGGAGGGCGAGAGAAGCGAACAGGAGGAGAGAGAAGAGTGTGCGAAAGAAACCCAGCAGGGTGGCAGGGTGCTCTCGAACAGAGCAGGAGGGAGCATCTCACCATCTTGGCAGTAGATCTGGAAATCGCTGAGGATAGAGGCAGCAAGGTTGGTGTTGGCAGGGATGGCCTTGGCCTTGACGGAGACGCACATGGCATCGTCCTCAGTTCCGACCTTGGCGCCAGTGTACTCGGCGCGGGGCGGAGGCAGCCACGCTCGTCGTGGACCTGGATCTGCAGAGGCGTCACGAAGATGACAAACTCCTTCACATCGCATAAGCCACGGACAGGGTGATGTCACTGAATTAAAAAAGACCGATCGACAACACACGTGTCAACTACAAAATCACCTCAAGCACATGCTATCATATGAAACAAGATACAGCAGGACACAGATGACAACATCATGAAGAGGTGGGAGACAGAAGCTACACCAAGAGAAGAGGTATCCGCGGCAAACTTACCACAGGAGCAATGTTGAGGAGCTGGCCCTTGCGGTAGCTCTGGTAGGACTGGGGGGCAAGGAAGCCCTTCTCAGCTCCGGCAGTGTCACGAGCCTCAGCGAACTTGGGGGCAGTGAGGGCAGCAGCTCCAGCGATGGCAGCTCCTCCGAGGACGCTGCGGCGGGACACGTCAGACTCCGCAACCATGGAGACGGAGGTGGCGCGGGCCTGGCATTAACGTCAGCACAAAGCCACCAGCGTGAGTTGATCGCACGCACAAGTTCAAGACAACACAAGGACGATTTGAGGGAAAGACATAGATAGCAATTGATGCACATGATCATCAGTGAAAGTCATGTGGACATGGTCACAGAATCAGAAGAGAGATCTGACAGCCAAATGCGACACGAGGGATCAAAATGAAGCCAGTAAGACCACGTCTTAACAAATTGATGCGTGGATGCCATGAATGGCCTTCCAAACATTCTTTTCAAGTAACCAACAAGAAAACATTAAATTGAGAAAATAAACAACAAAGAATGATCAAGTCATCTATGGGAAGAAGGGAAGAAAAACGAGCCAGATCTTGAGCAGCCCTTGGTGAAAATGGCAGCTCTGGTGACAGCAAGGGGTACAAACACAAGAGATCCAGCCGTCTAAGTCAAGGCAAACAAAGATCATACCGCTGGGGCGCGGAGAGGGAGGGCTGGGCCAGCAGAGAAGGCGGAAGCAGCGGCGACAGAGGCGGCAGCGAGCGTGAGCTTGGCGAGCATGGCGTTCGGGGGGCGAGTGACTTTCTGACAGGTTTCAATGGGCTCTAATAGGGGGGTGGGGTAGCAACAAACCATGGGGTAGGGTAATCACCCCACCCCCAAGACGGTACAAAGTGTGAGATCAGACGGGTATAGTGATGTGTCATTGACTAAATATATAGTACGAGGAAATCGATAGTACGGGTTTAGGGGTCGGGGGTAGTGGGAAATTAGGTGGTAGGGTAAGCCCAAAAGAGGGGTAGGGGTGAGAAAACTTGAGGATTTTGAAACTTCGCTGCGGTGGGCAAATCGAAAGTTCAAACCAACCTTGAAAGTTCTTACTGAAAGTTTTCGAACTTCCGACTCAGTTCAAGTTCCAAGTTCCGCCGACTCGGTCACTGTACGGTCACCGTTCCGATCCGGCGCCGCGCCGGCACTGCAGCCGGGCCCGGCGTGTCGGAGCCTGAGCCACTGAGTGCTGCGAACTGGCACCGACGGTTGTGTACCGTACTGTGTTACCCGCCGAGGCTGCCGGGGCCGCCGGCTGCCGCGGAATTGAGTCAGACTGATGTTGAACTCAGTGGAAATCAGTATTTACAAGTGAAAGTCACAAGGGATAGAACTACAGCCCACTACGCTTCAGTTCGTCAGAGAGGGGCAAACTATTCGGGAGTCTAGCTTCCGAAGTTCAAGGGATTCGAGCTGACAACAGTCTCAAGTTTCCGACACTGCATAACTTCATGTGGCCGCCGCATTCAGGTACTCATGAGACGCGTTTCTGTGGAGGGAGCAGAACTTGCGTATTCTATCTGAGAGAGAAGGGATCATCAGAGACAGATAAGAGATAAAGCCCCTTATCACCTTCTGGAGAGCCATAGATTGCCCTTCGGGTGCAGCGAAATGACTGGAAAAGTCCGTCCTGGCTGCCCCAGGAAGAGAAGTGACCTTCGCAGATTCGATTGTGGAGGTCGAAATCGATGCTACTCCTGTGATTGGCGCACCATCGTCTCGACTTATCAGCCATGTTTCCATAATGCGCCACCTGGGATATCACGCATGAGTACTGCACGGGATCTTGTGGATGAATTGTAGGTCACCTTGCTGCAGCCCTCGTGATCACAGATCCTGAGGCCAAATGTAGAGTTGGTGCCCGAAAGCTTGTGGAACCTGCAGAACCAAAGTCGCGATCCTGGGATGGAGTAGGACGCTCGTTTCCGACAACCTCCAAACTTGCACATCCTGTTCTTCACATCCACAAAATCTGCAATGCAAATCAGCATCCATTACGAAATCTTGCGCCAGCACCATCTGGCTTGTGATCCTTGCAGAACATGTTTTGATCGGTCATTGACAGTTCTAGACTCGACCTCTCCTGACCAAAAGTAGCATACTTCAAGCATCCCTTGAATGAACAGATTTTCTTCTTGTTCGAAAGGTCCCTGTGATCCGGGCACCTATGCATCTTGCAGAATCGGGTATCGTTGTCGAGAAAGCCGTACACCACTCTGGTAGAAGCTTCATCGCACCCTTCAGGGTGTGCGCATTTTCTCCCCAATCTTGTTCTTGACTTCATGGGTTGCCCCAACGACTTGTTGTGTGAAAGCAAGTGCGGCTGAGTTGAGACGCTTGCGGGCAAGGGAGGGGCAACGCTTCCATCTGCATCAAACTGATATTGCGAGCTTGCAGTGGGATGATCGAAGAGGAGGAGGCTGCATAGCAACAGCGGCAGCCGACAGCATGCATGCATCAGCCATGCGACCGTTCCATTTCCATTATCATTGTTTATGATTGTCCTCGTACTGATTTTTAACTTAAATTTGAGTAAAGAAGTGTTTATCACTTGCACAGGCTCCTTGATAGCGCCGGACTCCGGGAGTCCGGGCCGAACCCCCCGGCCCCGGGCCCGCCGGTGACCCGGACTCCGGTCCGACACTTGAGTCACCGACCTCACCGACCTAGTTTTGGAAAAAAAATTAGCCGGGTGAGTTAACTTTGACAAGGGGGTAGTAGGGCAGGTAGTAACCGGTGGAGCGAACTAAAAACCCTTACAGAAAGTTAACTGAGGGCAGAGAGGCGCCGAGATGGAGGGATGCCGGACGGTGATCATGGTGTAATCAGGAAGCAACCAGCGAGGATGGGGAGTTTCACGGAAGATGTAAGAAGAAAGACAAGGATTCCTGATATCTCATTGTTCGGTTCAGCATAACTGGTGTATGGCCCTTCCTTCCGGGGGGTTGATCGCTGCGGTTAGGAACAGACGGCGAAGGGAAGAAATCGATGAATGGCAAGATGAGCCCTTGCTGGTAGAGGACAAGAGGGTCTTCCGAGAACGAGTTCTGGCCATCCAAGATGTCCTTGAAGATATCGAGTCGAAAATCCTTTTCAACCCCTCTGAAAAGGATCCTGAGACATCAAAAGAGTTCATGGTGGATGGTTTGATAGAGATGGCAGAAGCGAAAATCAACAGGTCAGACTCATACAAGAAGTTGATGGGCACGACGACGTTCTTCATCTTGTACATCGTGCTGTTGTTCATGCAGCGAGACTACGAAGCCTGCTACGCGATTGAGAGCTCGGTCATGAACCTGATTGTTGGTAAGCTGCCAACAACAGGATCAGGTGGGTACACGAACTCGGGTGTTGGTGCCAACGGCTTTCTCAGCAACGTGGACGAATTTTACACCTGGTTGAACGACGCTCTGATCAAACAAGTGTTCAACGATCCTGTCTGTGGGGACGGCAAGTGTGATAGTCCGGATGAATACCCTGGGTTTGGTCGGTTTGGCTGCATCATCGACTGTGGGAATTACTTGAATGTGACATCGCTCTCTATCAACCTGGAAGACGTGGTGCAAACAAGTGCCAAGAGCCTCAACTGGGATCTTTCGACTCAGAGCATGATTCAGGATGCGAGGAAGGGCGGGTTCAAGTACAACATCTACAGTCAGACCATGGGAAACTTCTTGTTCGAGACCGATAGAAATGATTCGAAGCTTGTCGTGGACGTGCCTGACGGCAAGTTCAACCTTGTGCTTTATCAGACGGTCAAGACCAGCGAGCTTGTGGACAACACAGCTCTTAAAGACCTTGGGATTGTTCCGAGGTGTTGAACGGAATTGATGTGTGTTTCTTGATGAGTTTGACTGATGCTTGTTTTGCTTTCAGCACAGTCCCAAAGCGGAACAGTTCGAACGATTTCTCTTATGGCGACAAGAAGGAGTTCATCACTGCATCATATTTGTTGCTATCAGGAATCATAGATTACTGCTTCTCTTCAGAGGCCATGTTCCTGGATCCGAAGTGTTCAAACCTAAACATTCCAGGTATTCTTTCGAATGATCTTCACTTCGACGACGATGACTGATCTTTGCTGTCCTGTTTGAAGATGTGCTTTTCCGAGTCATGGCAAGCTATGGCTTGAATGGGAGTATTACGAGCAAGACATCTACAAACTCTTTCGACACAGTTGCTGAGGTAATCGTTGAGTCGGAAGGTCAAACTCACCTTGACGCTCCTTCCAGGTTTTGTTCTGCATGTCGGTCCCCAACAGAACAGGAGGGATCGACTCTGCTGAAAACATGGCCTTCTTCGGACAGGCTGAAACAACCTGCCCTGCGAAGGTATCAAGGAGAGCCAGACAACAACAGGTTGTCCTGTGGGAGCATCACTCCGAGCAAGCAGAGAAGATGAGAAGAAAGTACGAGGGCTCGATGACTTCCGCACATTCGAGGCAGAAGGATGTCGGGCTGAAGGAGCTCTCCCCAACGGTGAAGTCACGCTTTCCGACGCTGCAGTCACGCAGCAAGTCACTACGAGCTTTCCGACCGAAGCAGAGGCAGACGAAGAGACAAGTAGCGCTCAGGAGCTCAAGCTGCACTGAGATTGCTGATCAGGACGCTGGATATGTTTACAGCATAGGGAGCCAAGGGACTGAGGCCTGCTACATCGTGTCGCTTGCCAACTATCAGAACAACCTCACCTTCACCGCCGGCGTCGTCAACCTGGGTCCGCCCTCATCCTCTACCTGCTCCTACGGCATCACGGCCTGTGCCTGCACTGACGACGCCTGCAGCACAGAGTGCTCGTCCTCTCACGTGACCGTCTGCAACGGTGCCCGGCCGGGAGAGCCGACGCCTACGATCTCCATCCCTTCGTGGCGAGCTCGCGTGCAAGTCATCCTCCCTGACTCGCTCGCTTCCATCTGCGCGACTTGGGGGGGCCAGGCGTGTCCGACGAGACCAACAGCAGCGACGGTGAAGCTGGTCGACCAGACTGTGACAACCTCCTGCGACGGAGAGAACTTCTTCGTGGACTTTGAGATCAAGTCCACTACCACCAGCGCCAAGATCGCCTACGTAGTCACGCTGTGCGACAGTCAGAACGTCTGCCTGATGCAGCCAAGTTGCACTACCGGGCCCTTCTACTCCAACCCGACGTACGCGAATGTGTTCCTTGAGACCGCCGATGTCGAAGGTACCGATGTCTCCGTCCTCGCCATCGCCTGCTCGGGGACTCTGCCGAGTGCCATGGGCACTCCCTTCCATATCTGCGTCTTCCCTCCTCCCTTTCTCTCCGCGACCTTCCGCGTGGTGGAGCTCAACAACCAGACCTTTGACGCGAGCGCGAGCTTCACTTGGCTCCAGTCTGCTCTCTCGACGGCTCTCAACGAGGACAAGAGCAGGATAGCCCTCGGCTCGGCTGTCTTGTCCCAGTCGGCTAACGCCTCTAGCCTCTCCGTCGCTGACGTCACGGTCAAAGTCTTCACGTCCTCCAACCTTGAGGTGGTGGTGGTCGACACGAGCTTCAAGGCCGCGCTCGCTTCCCTCCTCACCGGCTACCCCGCTGCCTTCCCTCACACCAGCCTCTCCCTGCGGTCCTCCTCCATCTCCTCTCAGCTGCAGACGTCTGGCTTCTACGAGGCTTGTGTGACCCACTACGACTGTCCGGACTCAGCCTTCTGCTACCGAGTCCCTGATGCCGGGTATGACTTTGGAGTTTGTCTCGAGTGCTCGTTCTGCATCGTAGACAGCAGGGACTCTTACACCGGTCACTGCCCGCAAGACAAGTGCCCTGGGTCAGGAGGCTACCCGGAGTGCATCGACGCCAGCAAGATCTTGTCCTACTTGGACACGAACTGCAAGGACAACCACGAGTTCGAGGTCTGGAAGTTCAACGCCCGTGGCAAGACCCCCACCGTCATCCCCCAGTTCCAGCCCAAGGTGCGAGAGCTGACGCCGTACAACCGGATGGTGGGAGGGATCGTGATCTCGCAGAGGAGGAGGAAGGGAGAAGATTGCTCCCAGGGCATCCAGAAGCCTGACGTGAAGGCCTTCACTCAGTCCGCCAAGGAGGGAGTCCTGTGCCCCTCGGAGCAGCAGTTTGACTCGAAGCCCTTCGGCTACGACGCGACTTTCATGCCCTTCAGCTCCATCTACAACGGAAAGCTCCGGCCCGAGATGTTCTACGGGCCCAGCGAACGGCACGCGGTCAACGGCACCGACGGCTCCTCCACCCTCTCCTTCCCCAAGGGCTTCTTTCCTCACGAGTACGACGCCAACTGGCTGGACGCGAACCTGGACGGGACCCTGTCGCTAGAGGAGCTGGCGATGGACAAGAGCTACGAGACGGTGCATGAGAAGGATGCGAAGGTTGTTCATGGGGAGGACAGAAACAGCTTCAAGCTCTTCTTCGACGAGCGGCTGACGCAGAAGCAGGCGCAGGCCATGGTGGCGTTTGCCAAGGACGGGAAGTTCCTTGACGCTCAGACGCAAGAGCTGCACGTGGAGGTGGTGACGTTCAACGCTGTGAAGAACATCTTCCTCTACCTCGACATCTCGTTCAAGTGGGAGACCAGCGGGAAGATCCCTTGGAACTACAACATCAAGACCATCTCCTTCGACCGCATCCTCTACCCAAGCGTCGTTCAGGCCGTCCTGATGCTCCTCGTGATCCTCTTCCTCGCTATCAACTGCATACTGGAAATCATGGACATCATGGTGCAGGCTAGGAAGTTTGCCCTCCACGAGTACTTCGCCGACCTGTTCAACTGGGTTGACCTCCTTCACTTTGTCTTCATGTGGGGAACTGTCGTCACCTGGTTCGTGCACAGAGCTGAGGTGCAGGGCCTGACCCTCCTCCCCAACTATCCCATCCTCTTCTACGGACCCAACTACGACAACAGCACGTCGAGGAGGTACGGGGCAGCGAGGACCTTCGAGGCTCCGCTCTCGGCTACGAAACCAGCGAGCGCGAGGATGTTTCGAACCAACAACCAGGCAGAGTTCGACTTCCTGAGCCTGATCCACACCATGCAGCGCATCTCCAGCACGATGCAGGTGTTCTCCTTCTTCGCGGGGGTCAGCGTCGTCCTCTTCGTACTCAGAATGCTCAAGTCCCTCGACTTCCAGGAGAGGATGGGGATGGTGACAAGGACGATCTCTAACGCTGCGAGCGATCTCTGGCACTTCATCCTCCTCTTCCTCATCGTCTTCATGGGCTACGCCATCGTCGGCGTCCTGCTCTTCGGTCATCAGTTTGAGGTCTGTCGCCTCCTCTTCCTCCCCTCTCTGACTCTCCCCGACACTGCTCTCCCTCTCCTCACCCTCTCCTCTCCCCTGCTATCCCGCTCCCCTCCCTCCCCTCCTCCCCTCCCTGCTCATGCTGACGAGCATGGTGCAGGGCATGAAGAACCTTTCGAGCTCCTGCATCACCCTGGCCATCTTCATCCTCAACTTCGACACGTTTTATTTCTTCTCCTCCGTAAGATCTTCCCCTTCCCGTCCTCCTCCCTGACCTGCTCCTCTCGCAGATGTCGCATGCTTCGGACTTTGCGGCCTTCCACATCTTTCTCTGGTCCTACCTCTTCATCGTCTTCTTCATCCTCTTCAACATCTTCCTCGCCATCCTCGTCGACGCGTACGCCAACGTCAAGAGCCACACCGACGGCTCCACCGGCCTCATCAGCGACTTCTCCTCTGTGGTAGCGCACGAGGTGAAGCGGCTGGTGCTGCCCGGGAGCTCCTTCATCTCAAACCAGAGGCTGAAGCAGAGGCTGCTGGAGGAGAAGGAGAGGATGCAGCAGATGCACAAGGTGAAGCTCGACATCAGCAAGCGCATGGCCTACCAGCGCGCCATCCTGATCCGAGGAGGAATCAAAGTCGACTACCAGGATCTCGAGCTGTTCCTGGGGAGGACGGGAGGAGCAAGGGCGCATCCTGTGGAAGAGCAGGCTGAGGGGCAGGAGGATGGAGAAGAGGTCGGGGGGGTGGAGGACAGCGAGGCGATTCACAACTTGCTGGATCGTTACGGGGAAGACCTGTCCGAGTTGCAGGATAGGAAGAACCAGGACTTCAAGCTCATCCTCGAGATAGAGAACATGAGGTGAGGAGGGAAGGAGGGTGAGGAGGGAAGTTGGAGAAGAGGAGGAAGGTAGAGAAGCAGGAGGAAGATGTAGAGAGAGAAGAGGTGGTGAAGGAAGAAGGAGGGGGAACGGGGGAGAACTAGGAGCGAAGGCGATGGAGCGGGTATAGGGGGAGATAGAAGAGGTGGAGGAGGTAGAGAAGGAGGAGGAGGGGGTATCACATAACTCCTCATGCAGGCGACTTCTCTCCATGAACGCGCTGCAGAATCAGCTGGTGGCTCAGCAGAAGAGGATCGTGCAAGTGATGGAGGGGATAGCGCAGAAGAGCTCGGTCACCATCCAGGAGGAGGAGGAGGAGGAGGATCAGGGTAGAGGAGCAGGTGCTCTAGGGACTCTAACCCTCCGGCTCGTCCGGGCAGAGCATCTCCCCAGGATGGATCTCCTAAGAAGCTGCGACCCGTACTGCATCCTCTTTCTGGACGGGGAGGGCAGCAGGGACTCGTACATGAGCAAGATCATCAGGAAGCAGGTCAACCCGACGTGGGACGAGACGTTCGAGTGGAAGGTGTACAGCAACAGCACCACAGTCATCATCTCCGTGTGGGACAAGGACAATGTGAGTCGAGCTGCTGCTGCTGCTGCTGCTCATCCTCCTCCTCCTTCTCCTTCTCACCCCTCCCCTCCCCCCGACCCCCCTTTACATTACCTCTAACTCATCATAATCATCTGCCGTGATATCCAACGTGACTTCTGTTCATCTTCAGCTCTATCCTTTTTCTACTGCCCTGCCCTGCCCTGCCCTGCCCTGCCCTGCCCTGCCCTGCCCTGCCCTGCCCTGCCCTGCCCTGCCCTGCCCTGCCCTGCCCTGCTCCTCTCGCTCCTTTCTCTCGTTTTCTCCTCTTTCTCAGCTGTTCATAGATAACCAAAGACGACCTCATCGGCACTGCTTACCTCGACATCTCAAAACTTACCTCCACCTTCCCCGACGAGCCCGTCGCGCTTCAGATTGAGAATCCGCGATTTTACAAGAAGCTCAAGGCTGCTCGCATCTACGTACAGGCCAAGGTGACCAAGAAGGAAGATGTCGATGTGAAAGTACAACACTTGGATGTCGACTTGATATGAAAGAACGTGATGTTGATAGCGGCAATCGATCAGTTTGTTTATGAAGAGCAACAAGGATCGGCGCCGCCTGCCAGGCTGCCAGCCTTAGCTGCCAGCACTCCCAAGTTGGACCCACCGGGCCCGCCACGTAGAATGCCAGTCGGAACTTCCCAGTCCCCCGGCCCGGCCGCCCGGTCACCGGGTTCAACGGTTGATCATCGGATCATCGGATGCCGGGCGCGACTCAGGGGGCACTGATTTACTCGATTATATGCGCCACTAATCAAATTTTGCTGCCTCCGCACGTGCCGATGGGGGTGGTGGAGGTAGTATCAGGGGGTGGGGGTGGAGGAGTTCTGCCAAACGGCGGGTGAAATGGGGGTCCTTTTTGGATAAAAAGGGGGGTGACACATGGGGTGCACTAGGGTAGTCAACGGCCCCCTGAAAAATGGGCTACCGCAGAGGAGGCAGGCATCGCTATGCACAAGCATGCGCTGGCTCCTCTTGGTTCAAATCTCTTGCTTTATCATTCTCTCCTTCTCATTCCTTTTTATCTTCATTCTTCTTCTCCTCTGCTTCCTCCTGCTGGACGTCCATCTCTTCATCGTCAAGGTTGAGTTTTCCTCATCCAAAGTTTTCCTGCGATATGCCCAGCCAAAAGGACAAGACAGATCAAGCAGGAGGAAGGAGGCTGATCATGAACAGACCATATTCTCTCCTTCTTTCCTTCATTGCCATCGTTTCTCTGCGGGCCGTAGATGGGTATCTTCAGGTTTGTCCTGCAAAGCTGATACAATCCTCCTCCAATTGTCCCTTCGCAAGGAATGTCTTTGATCAGACAAGTTTGAGTCTACCTAAGGTTCCAGGGAAAAGAGTTCAGAATATTCTCAGCGTTCAGATGTCGAAGAAGGACAAGCGCTACAAGTTGGCCAAGAGAGGAGCAAACGAGGATGAGCTGCTGTTGACTGTCGCGGAGCAGTTTAGGAGGAGGGAGGGTCAAGCACAAATCTCCTGGTATCCTGGGCACATTGCGAAAGCTGAGAAAGTTCTTCAGGATGTTCTCAGCGCTGTTGATGTCGTTGTGGAGGTGAGGGATGCAAGGATACCCATTTCCACGTCGCATCCGATGATTGACAATTGGCTGAAGAACAGAAAAGCTACCAGAATCATTTGCATGAGCAAGGTAGACATGGTCCCGGCATCATCCATCAGCATGTGGAAAGCATTCTTGGAGAACAGCATGAATACGTCTGTCGTTTTCATGAACTGCAAGGAGGGGGGAGACGGTCTCATACACCTCAAACGAGCCATCAAGAAGGAGAGGGAAAAGGTTAACACTCGCCGAGAGGAACGAGGAATAGCTCCGCGCAATGTGAAGGTAGCAGTGATTGGTTACCCCAATGTTGGAAAGTCCGCCCTGTTAAATCGTCTGGCGGGAATGAAGAAGGCGAAGTCAGAAAACAGAGCAGGAGTGACGAAATCGTTGCAATGGTCGAGGGTGGAAGGATACGACCTTTTGGACTCTCCCGGGATTATTCCTGCCAAGTTGTTGACGCAAGAGATTGCGTTGCATCTTGCAATCTGCGATGACATCGGCAAGGCATCCTACGACACCATCCTCGTTGCTGCACATCTGGTCGATGAGATTCGCAAGGTTGGTTTTTCTCTTCCCTCCTATGTGGATCTCGGAGGGTTTCAGCGGCGGTACAACCTTCCCATCGGGACAATGAGTGGAGAAGAGTACATCTTCAGACTTGCTCACACTAAATTCTTCGGCCTGGAACTGCCAGCGGCTGAAAGAATCTTGGATGACTTCAGGGGAGGAAGGCTTGGGGTGTTCGCACTCGAGCCTCCTCCGACGATCCCCTATCACACTGGCTATTATCGCACTCTCGGGCTGAAACCCAAGTGCACTGCAGAAGACATCAAGAAAGCCTACCGTGAGAAAGCTAGAGTTCTTCATCCTGATTTCGGTGGCGATCCGTCTGCTTGGCAGAAGCTGCTCAAGTCATATGAGGTGGACGTTTTGTTGATGTCAATTGTTAGTTCTGATTATGTTGAAGATTTTGTCGGAGCCGGAAAGCAGGAAAATGTACGACGAGCATGGACTTGTGTGGGACATTGCAATGTGAGCACGAGATCTTTTGCCTTCCGAACGACTGACAGGTTTGCAGCGGGAATTATCGTGTCCTGCAGCCTGGCGAGGTTAAACCGACTATGGAGACTGTATTCTGGCAAACTGTTAGTCTCAATAGTTGTTTGGAGTTCCTTCTGATTCTTCCTCTCTCCTATTCTCTCAGGGACAAAAATTGCTAAGAGGCTCACCGACTGCAACACTTCGCACTGCCAAGATGCGCAAGGGATTGTTGAGGTACCCTAAATCGTTGTCTCCCTCTCCATTGACGCCCATATGCAGGCTTTCAATTGCTTCAAACTCTGCTTCAAAATCTGTACTCTACACCAAACCACCACCAGGCCGCCCACCAATGAGGCAGCCAGAGGCTAACGTGTGATCGAAAAACGCTGAGGGCGACTTTGTAAGGATATATGAGAACACAATGAAGTTTTTTTTCCTGTATCTGTTTTGTGCCAACCCATGGTTGAAAGACAAGTGACATGAGAAGCTTTCAAAGAGAAGAAAATTTTACTGTAACAAAACCGGGGTCGCAAAGACCTTCATAGCGTTACTGACGACACATGCAAGAAGACCGCTTGCAGCAATAGGAATCATTCTCGTAATCGAGTTTCCGTTTACTTGAACAATTTGCGCAGCGACATGTTCTTCTCGTTATCCTTGTTCATGACCTGGAGATAGAGTCAACCATTCACGTCCCTCTACAAGAAGACAAAAAAAACCTTAGCCACAGCCATCTCGAAGTCCTCCTGTGTCACGTGAACACGGCGCTCTCTCAATGCATACATTCCTGCCTCTGTACAAACTGCCTTGATTTCAGCACCACTTGCTCCAGGCAGCTTCTCAGCAATCTTTGAAAGATCAATTCCTCTCATCCTAAGGGCAACACGTCACTACATGTAAGCATGTTAATGTCTGAGGAGATAATACTCACAAGTTCATCTTGCGGGAGTGGATTCTAAGAATGTCAGCACGAGCACCCTCATTAGGGTTAGGGAATTCTATCTTCCTGTCTATTCTTCCAGGACGGATCAAAGCATCGTCCAAAATATCCAAACGATTTGTGGCCATAAGAACCTGCATAGAGAATATGTTTGAGAAGGTAAAGTGCAGATCATTCCAAGAGTAACATACCTTGATATTCGATGAGGATTCAAAACCATCCAGCTGGTTGAGAAGCTCAAGCATAGTACGCTGCACCTCAGAATCTCCACCCTCAGAACCTTCGATTCTGCTGCTACCGATGGAGTCCACCTCATCCATGAAAATGATAGAGGGGGCGTGCTCTCGAGCCATCACGAACAATTCACGAACCATCCTAGATCCTTCACCGATGTACTTCTGGACAAGCTCTGAGCCAGAGACACGAATGAAGCAGCAATCAGTGTGGTGAGCCACAGCTCTTGCCAAAAGAGTCTTCCCAGTCCCCGGAGGACCATAAAGCAAAACTCCCTTGGGCTGTGCAATACCCAAGCTCTCGAAAATCTCTGGATGCTTGATTGGAAGTTCAATAACCTCTTTGATCTCTTTCACTTGCTTGTCAAGTCCTCCAATTGTCTCATACGTGGAATCTGGAACCTTCTCCACCCTCATGAGGGATACAAGAGGATCAACCTTGCTGGGCAGAATCTGCACAAAGCAAATCAATCGCCTTGGAAATCATAACGCCTCCACTGTACAACCTTGTGCAGAACATAGCTGTCATTCCTAAGAGCGACACGAATATTTGGCTTGATCTCGCTAACGTCGATACTGCTATCCAGGTCCACAACATACTTGCCATCCGGATTCACCTGTCGTGGGCAGAGAAGCAGTGAGAAAATTTTCAATGTAACAGTTCAACAGCAGTTTCTCACCTTCACGAGCACTTTGTTCTTTCCCATCGCTTTTACAACTTCACCGACGTAAGAACTTGGTTCTTGCAAAAGCAGCAGCTCCTCTCGCAAAAGGCGAACTTTGGTGTTCAACTCATTCCTCTGAGCTTCCAAACGACGCAAGTTCTGTGCTTTCTCCCTGTACACTGCTTCCAGCTCCTCTATCTTCCCCTGATAGTAGGAGTGAATCCCCGCACTGAACTGCGGGTTTGCTGCCTGGGCCTTACAAGATGCCATGTCTGCGCTTTAAAATCTAGTCAGTGCAACATGCAGGGTTGGAAGTAAAGCAAGCTTTGAAAACGTTACTTCCACTCATTTGCTACTTGAAATACAAAGCCATGCCGCAACCAGTACATTTTGACTTTAAATCATTCTTTCTTTTCTCGAATATCAGATCAAGTTATCTACCAGGATACCACTTCATACAAAATTTTTCTCTCCTTCTATGAGTTGTCTCTCCAGAAACACAGGCGTGCTTAATTTTGGTCCCATACATCGAATCTCAGGAGCCTTGGAGCGTCTCATGCTTTCTTGTCATCTCATATCATCGCATCGTTCTCACTTTCTCTCCATACCGCCTTCCTCCTCCCTTCCACATCCAATCTTCCTCTGCCGCTCCTCACTCGGCGCTCGCGACATGCCAGGGAGCATGGAGGACAGCTGTCGAGTTGACTAATCTGGATTACTTGGTGTCCGCAAATGTTGGTTGACCAGAGTGAACAATTTTACCTAAATGGAATGACCTAATTGAGTTTTGAAATTATGGGTTTACCTTATTGCGTTGTGATGATGATGGCTGTTCGACAATTATGTGGGAGGGGAGGAGGAGGGCAGGAGGGCGGGGGGAGCTGAGGAGGGAGAGAGGATTCAGGGGGAAGAGAAGGGATACTAGGAAAGAGGGAGGAAAGGAGGGAGAAGAGACGAGACAAGACGAGAGAGGAGAGAGAGGGAAGGGCCGGGGGAAACGAGGAAGGAAAGTTGATGACATAGGCAGGGTCGGGCGAGAGAAGAGGAGGGCGAAGAGGAGAGGACAGACAGTCGAGTGGGTGAGAGAAGATGGGAGAGCCGTGTGATGCGACACATCAGGAGGACGGTCCTTGAAGGGGGAACTTTGATCGTTTCTTCATGACAGGGTCACAAGGTGCAAGAGAGAATGTTGAATGGCAAGCTGACCTGCATTGCTCTCTTCGCCGTCGCCTCTCTCCTTGCTGTCATATACTCTTCATGGTTGCCAGGACGGCCTGAGATGCTCGAGGAATCTGTGAGTGATTCTGCTGAAGCTTCCCCGTTGGCAGCGCGTGACATGTTGGATGCAGGCGAAGAAGCAGCTGACCATGGGATCCAAAGGCGACAAGATGCTGGGGTTGAAGAGCATGTTCTCCAAGGTGAGACGCCCTGGTATGTCCTGGGCATCCCTTGATCGGGCTTCCTTGTAGGTTGAGAACAATCCCAATGTGAAGATGGTAAAGGGCCAGTACAAGGCGTTAGAGGCGATAGGTTTGCACTCCCAAGTAGCCCACGTCCTGTGTCTGACAGCGACGTCTTCAACCCACAGACGACTTGGGCTCAGTTTCCAACAAGAGACTGTTCCTTCACAAAGGTCCTACTTCTGCCTTGGGGGATGGGAGATGAGGTCTAAGGCTGAAACGACTTTCAGCACACAGCAAGAAGAGGAATGTGCTTCATGCCATCGCAGATGTCGCCAAGAAAGCTGGTGTCAAGGTCAACCCATCAGCTGATGTTGCGCTTGCTGACTGAGCTTCAGATCTCCGTGGGCAAGATATCCGCAACTGAGAAGGAGAAAGCAGGTTGGTGCTGTCTGGGAGTATTGCACGCCCTGCGTTTCTCAGTTTCCTTCCTTTCAATCAGCCAACATGGTGGAGGAATTGCTCAAGTCAGCAAGCAAGCAAATCAAGATGAAGGCAGCCAGCCCTCGAGAAGTTTTCAAGTCCAAGATGAAGAAGGTGAGGAACAAGGTTAAGTGTGGAGATGTTAGATGACCTCCGACCTGACAGGCTATGTTCAACTACAAGTTGTACAAGGGGCAGCATCGACCGGGGGTCCATGACAGTGCGATCGATAGAATCTTTAAGTATTATGTCTGATTGGTTTCCTTTCAGCGAAACCCATCCAGCAATCCCTTCCAGAGAAAAATCCAAGTTGGAAATCTAAGTATTGCCTTGATCCTAGAGAAACAAGCACCTTCTTTGACATCTCTTACAAGGTTGGAATATCGCAACCCCAATTTTCACGACAAGATGGCGAAGGTTTGGTGGTTGGAACAAAAAGTCAAAGATGGATTGATTTGCTTCCAGGCCCTCTTGTACTATCAGGCTTACAGAACGGGCGGGGGCAGTAGGACCAAACCGATGAAACCTGACATCCCCACGGTCTTTCTTCGTTGGAAACTTCCGAGTTTTGTGAATGATTCCGCAGGCTGCTGATGAGGCTTCGAAGCCCGAGTATGTGATGAATGACAGCGTCTCGAGCATGCATCGAAGGCATGGCAGCGTTCAGAGCTCGCATGCGAACCATCGGTACAAGTGTGACCTCACTGGGTAAAGACTCAAAGATGAACTACGATCATGATCTCCTGATGTTAGTGTTGTAGATGCCATGTGATAGAGGCAACTGAAGAATTCAGGCCCAACGGCCTCTACATAGGGCTGAAAGAAGTGAAGGATTACTCCCCTGTTCACCGCAAGGCTTCTCTGCGACCTTCCAGCAGGATAAACGCGCTTGATGGGCAGGCGAGTCTTTCACGCTTCGTCTTTGTCGTCACTTTGTGACAGCCTTGCAGGAGCTTGCACAGATGTCAAAGTCACATGTACACACAAGTTCTAGAGTTGCGGGCATGAGTCCAACCTTGTCAAGACCGAGCGACCATGCCGCCGCTCTGCGTCGCCTACAGAAGAAATCTCAACAGTACAACGATGCGATGCCTCTGAACCCCCTGGTAAAGTTCCTCCTCCCCTTATTGTCTCCTCAACGTATGCGACAGAATGGAATCCCGGGCTATACGCCGAGGCATAGAAGCAAGGAGACTGAGGTACCTGATGACGTCATCGGTGAGCCTGAACTGATCTTTCGCTGCAGGCGGAGGCTCCTGTCACCTCTCTCTTAAACCGCATGCCAGTCCCGGACTCTCCCAAGGTTGTTCCGCTCTTCCTGCTGCTGCTGCTGCTGTGCGATTGTGTCGTTTCTTCATTCTGACTGCCCTGATGTCAGAAACTGCTTGAGACCAAGGCTTACATGCAGCAACTCTCGCAAGGGCAAGGACATGACTCAGCCCCTGCCTTCGATGACGCGGCGCCCAAGGTAATTCTAGAGGCTCAGGGGGTCGACCGGCCACTTATGCGCTTGTGAAGATGTTCCGATAGCGAAGTCTTGCAACCCCACCGGCTCTGAGCATCAGCCGGAGGAGGCACCGTTGACAGTTTATTCTTTGTGTTTATACATCGTTTACCGCTATCACGTCCTCAGTCGCCGTGTGTTTCCTCGCTTTCCGTTACCCCCCCTCGCCCCCGCGTCCCTTTTCTGTCCTTCACCTCCTCCTCCTCCTTGTCTTCTCCCTCCTCCCTCTTGTTGCTCAATTATTTCACTTCCTCCTCTGTTTCACCTACTTTTCTTCATCAGCTGCATTTTTCCACATCATTGTCGTGTATGACGAGACTTGTTGCTGCTTGTTTCAGCGGACAACCTGACAAGCAGGGGAGCCGGCTCAATCTTTCCCCTCCTAGACAGAGGGGTCAAAGATAGAGAAGAGGGAGAGCGAGTGCAGGAGCAAGAGACAGAAATCTCGTTGGTGTCTTCGTGTACAACATGGCAACCAACAGTCGATATGCAGCGGATTGATATGAAAGCAGATATGAAGCAAAGCTCTGTTAATCACGTTCATTGTCCAAGGGATTCAAAAACTTCAACTAGGAGTTTCAGTTATCTCATTGGCTTCCCTTCACGTTGGCCCTCTGACCCTGCGCGCTCGGTGGAGCTGAAGGAGGTCTGGAGGAGGAGACAACTGGTCGTGAGCTGGACGTGAAGGGCATCCGAGAGTCTCTACCCCTCCCTCCCCTCCCGCCCCCCCTGCCTCCTCTTCCTCCTCTTCCTCCTCTTCCTCCGCTTCCTCCCTCCTCCTGCCCCTCCATCGGACGCACAGGCTTCCTCGAGGCCTCAGGAGGGTTGAAGTCTCCGACCTCAAGGCCCGGGAAGGCGCCGCATGCAGGAGCAGGAGCAGGAGCGAAGCATCCTCGGAGGTCCTCTGGGATCCCCAGGTCACTTGTAACTGTTCCCTTGATGTCTCCCACGATCGCCTCCGCCATGGCCAGCCCGCTCAGCGCGGCTCCTTGCACGCTCGGCTCGATGAGCCAGTCACCGCAGATTCCTGAAGCCGTGGCTGCGATTGAGGTGAGGAAGACAGATGAGGTAGCAGGGACAAGGGGTAGGAGAAAGTGAAGACGATGTAGGTGGAGGGGCGGGAAGTAGAAGGTGAAAGTTGGCAGCGGGAAGGGAGGAGGCACAGGAGAGGCGAGGAGGAGGGGGAAGGGCAAGGGCAGCAAGGCTAGTCTGCTCACCCCGGTCGAGGACGCAGGGCCCCCCTGTGAAGGCGTTCATAGGTACCCCTGCTCCCCAGAGCTGGACCCTCCTAGCGATGGGGCGAATGGATCCGTTCTTTAGCCCCGCGCTGCTCTCGAAGGCACGCAGCAGCTCGTCGACGATTCTCTCCTCAACGTCCTCAGGGATTGCTTCTTGGGGAACCTGGGCGGTGCAGGGTGAGGAGGAGCCGACAAAGAAAGGATGGGGGGGGAGGAGAGCAGGAGAAGAGCAGAGGAGGCAGAGGATAGAAGGGGAGGGGACGGGGAAAGTTCGATAAAATGGGGAGCTGGGAACTGGGTATGAGAAAGGGAGGAACGAGGGCAGCGCAAGACAGAGGAGGAGCGTCGAAGTGTCGGTGTTGAGGAGGTGAAATCAAAGATCAGGAGCACAGAAGTAGAGGGAGGAGGTGAGGAGGAGGAGGAGGAGAGATTGGAGAAGGTAGGGAGGTTGAGGATGGTAAGTAGGAGGAGGAAGGTCACCTTGTTGCGAGTGCCGTAATTGCGTGAGGATATGACAGTCCAGGTCTCATAGCCGCCTTCAGCCACCTTCTCCCTCTGTGCTGGGGTCGCCAGTTTACGGGTGTTATCTAGAGCACGCGGGTGAGGACGGGAGGCGTCGGAGGGTAGGGTAGTTGCCCACCTGAGACCCAGCAGAGGTCCGGGTGGTTCTTCACGAACGCTCCTTCGAACGGAAGGCCAAGGGTCCCTTCGACAGCAAACGCGAGGACCCACAGGGAGGAGAGCTGGGAAGGGAGTGAGGAGGAGACGTGGAAGGGAACGCGGAACCTGCATGAGGTCCTTGGGTGGAGCTGCGTTGCTGAACTTGCACTTGAGGAGTCGGTGCCTGCACCGAGGAAAATTTCAGAATGATTGGCAACGATGGCTGAGGGTGGGGGAGGAGGGATGTGGAAGAAGGAAGGAGCGAGAGGGAGAAGGAGGCAGGAGTATTGGGCAGGAGAACAAAGGAACAGAGGAGGAGGAGGAGGAGGAGGATGAGGATGAGGATGAGGATGAGGATGAGGATGAGGAGGAGGGGGAGGAGGAGGAGGAAGGTGATCTTACAGCGCTGGAACCTCCGCATCTCGCATCAGTCTCTCCGCGCACTTGCCGTTGTGAGCGACGACGATGTAGTCGAAGTCAGACTGTCTGCCCACCTGCCATGGCATGTCAGCAGTCCTCTTCAGCAGTCACCAGCAACCTCCGAGCTGAGCCTCCTCCTCCTCATGTTGTCACGGAACAGCCGCCACTTCCCGTCCTCCTGCCTCTCCACCACAGCCACCCACGTGTCAAGCTCAACCCGAAGGCTCTTTGACAGGTGACGGGCGATCGCGTCTATTCCCCCGACCCCAACCCAAAGCTTCGAGCTCGCTGCCAGCCCAGTGAAACTTCCCTTGTCGAGCACCCCAACCGGTCCCTTCCACTCCTGAACTACCCCGTTCTTCTCCCACTCCTCCACCAAGGCAGTGAACTTGGGATCGGTTGCCGTGAAGAACTGTGTGCTGTGATCAACCTGAACAACACGTGAGAAGATGTAAAAGTGAGAGTTGAATAAGCGGCAGAATACAAAAGACACGCATTATGATGAGATGAGTAGACAAAAACAACACATGTGTTATGATGACAAATTATGCAAGGTATGCGTGATGTTGATATAAGTATGCAAGACATGTATGATAATCAGGAGGGTATAAAGGACATGTCTCGTTCTACCTTGGCGTTCTTGGCCTTCCCTGCCGCAAACTTCATGTTCAAGATCCTGCTTGACATTCTTCCTCCCGCTGCATGCTTTCCTGTATCAAAGATCGTGACTGAGCATCCGAGCTCGGCCAGTCTCTTTCCGCACACCAGGCCAGACATTCCTCCTCCTATGATCGCTACTCTTCCATTCTCTAGTCCCTGGCCGCTGCGTCCGGGTGTCGGACGGGCCCAAGGAGCTGGTGATGCCATGGCAAGTGTACTGACTCCGACCTTGTGCAGACGTCCGCGGGAAGGGGAGCAGGTGAGGGAAAAACTTTGTGTAGAGGCGAATCGGAGGGATCGCAGGGCAACAGGAGGAGTCAGGAAGCTTGAAACCCTAGTGACACACAGGACAAGCGCAATCCATGCACGCATGTGCGATATGCTCCTGTTCACACCGAGCACGAATACAGGAGAAGGGAGAAGGGAGGAGGAGGAGGAGGAGGAGGAGGAGGAGGAGAAAGCGTCTCGTCCTTATATCAGAGTGATAATGAGTACCCGTACTCTCAGAGGACAAAATCTGGTCAGAAAGGGGGTGGGGTATCCCACACAGTAGTGCAAGAACCACAAGTGCGAAAATGGTTTGAGGATTATCGGAAGCAGGTGGGGCGAGTGGCGGGCGAAGAGGATGGAGGAGAGGAGAGCAGGGGGGCATGAAGACACTGGCAGCAAGGCACCAACAGCAGGATGAGGCCAACAACATTGCGCTTCAGCATCGTTAGCTGAAAGATCTCCACTCCAAATGTCCCGATACCGGATACGCTCTCCCATGCTCGACTGTCTTATGTGCTCCAAGACCCTCCACGTCCTCATCTTGCTCCTCCTCTGCCCTACCTTGCAGTCAGGGTCAGAGCGAGCGACGAGCTCTGCTACGGACATGCTGCTGAGGTTCACGAGGTTGAGGGGTTGTGTGCTCACCTGTCGAGGAGGAAGTGACTGGGATACCTCCGAGGATTCTAGAGGTAGCTCGGATCCCTCCCTGCACTCTCCCTTTCTTCTACTTGCCTGCCTGCCTGCCTGCCTGCCTGCCTGCCTGCCTGCCTGCCTGCCTGCCTGCCTGCCTGCCTGCCTGCCTATGTCACTCTCAGCTTTCACTTGCCTACCAGCTCATCTCCTTCCTTCCCCATTGTCCTTGCCACTGCCCGCCCAACGATGGTGTATCAGAATCCATTCATGGCGATCGGGGGTGGAAGGTTTCGCGGCTAATGGAGATGGGAGCAAACAGGGAGCAGGCAGAGGTCAGTGCGACCCTTGCCCTCCTCCCCAGCTCCTCTCTTGGTCCCCTGCCACTGACGCAGCTCCTGCTAGCGGGCTGTCGACCAAGATCCACAAGGGGACGTGGAGGACGCTGTCAGGCATGCCTGACTCTCCTCCAGCGGCCTCTGAGCCAGCCCGCAGGTGGATCATCAACAACCTCGAGGAGGAGGAGGAGGAGGGGGATGGAGGAGGAGCGCGACCTACCAGCATCATGCAGAACTACAACATCGAGCGGGGGCGGCGGACACGTGCGACCTGTGAAGCATGTAGCAGTGAGTAGAAGGCTGTGAAGAGAGCTGCTGTGTGAATGGTGTGAAATCCAGGCTTCATCAATGATGGTAGCATCGGGGTGAGTGTGAAGAAACAAATTGGCGCCGTTTCCTCCGTGTAAGTTTCCTGGTCTTGTCGTGTCTGAGATGTTTGCCGTTCATGTTTGTTGGTGCTTGTGCTGTTATTGTTGTTTTGTTGGTGGTGGTGATGAAGCAACCATAACAATGATGATGAAATTGAGGTTGAAGTTGAGGTTGTGAGCTTGCTGCTGCTGCTGCTGCTGCTGCTGCTGCTGCTGCTGCTGCTGCTGCTACTACTGAGAGACATCTCTCTCATCAGGAGCTGGTACCACTTGCATCACCTCGAAATCCCATCGTACGCCGTCGGGCGAGCGAGTGAGATCAGGGGCTACGAGTGAGCAGCGAGATCGAGGTTGAGAGGAGTGGCTGATGTTTGAATGCGCAGGAACCTTGATGCTGCTGCCAAGGTGGACGCCTGTCATGCTTTCTCTGCAGTGCGGGGGCCCTGGAGCGGATTCCGACCGTCCTCGGTTCTTTACAGAGGTTGCTCTTTCCTTTTCTCTCCTTCTTTCTCTCCCACCCTCTTCCCCCTTCCGTCTCCCTCTGCCTCCATCTTCCTCTCGCTTCCTCTCGCTTCCTCTCGCTTCCTCTCTCTTCCTCTCTCTTTCCCCCTTCCTGCTTACCGGACTCTCTCTTCTGCTGTTCATTGCTCCTTCTCCTCTTGCATCCACCTAAAGCCTCTTTCTCTTCCTCTGCCTCCTCTTGCTCCTCTGCCTCCTCTTGCCCCTCTTGCATTCAGGATTCGAGTCTCTGGTGAAAAGTTTCCGTGGGAAACCTTTCCGCAACGTGGGGAGGAAGAAGAGGGTCGAGAAGAATTTCCAGCTGCCGATCATGACGCACATTGCGAGCATGAATGCTACTTGCGTGTTTATCAAGAAGATTCGCAACTTGCGATCAAACTGTCAATTCACTCTGAGTCCTGTTGGAGATCTGTGCCGGGTGAGATGCTGTGACTATGACAAATACATGTTTTCGCGAGGAATGTATGAATGATTACGTGTGAATACTCAGCCTGAATGTTTCTGAGGACATATTTCCAATTTTTATAACTTGCTGCATGTCCTCCTTTCTTTGTCTCCCTGAGATCTGTGAATTTCACGATGCTTCAGTGTTTATTTCTGCAAGTCATTTCTACCCGGTTTGCTCATGATTACAGTTCATAATCATTGTCATGTCCGTAGTTGATCATGATTCGTTTTGGAAGACGATGATGTTTGTGATTCATCATCATTACACTGGCTCATTGCAACTCTCTTGTTGGCAGATCAGCGACGGCTCCCTCATCGTCGGGTTCGTCGAAGGAAACGCCGCGCGCGTCATCTGCCAACTCATCGCATGTCATGAGCACACCAGGTACTATCAAGCCAAGATGCTCACTCACGAGCGCATCCAAGACGACCAGCACCCTCAGGCACCAGCACAAGAGGAGGACGGGGAGGACGAGGAGACGACAGATGCCTGGACTTGCGAGGTCCGGATCGCCGGGCACTCTAGCGTAAGGAGCAGGTCACTGAAGATCCTCCGGCAGTCAACCGTCTCCTTCTCCACCCTCCCCCCCCTCCAAGTGCCCTCGGGCCCCTCCGGCACGTCAGTCGTCATCAACCGAACGTCGGCGGCGCTGCTGAACTCCCAGGAGGCACTTGAGAGTGTCATCGACGACCTTGAGAACGTCACCAGCTCCGTTGACGTGTCGCTGGTCGATATGGCGGCTCTGCACGCGCTCGGGGTTCGCTCCTCCCTGTATGACCACCAGCTGCGAGGGGTCAACTGGATGCTGAGCAGGGAGTGTCGGCAGGGAGAGGGAGGTGATGAAGGTAACAACTCGAGCATGGAGGGAAGTGCGGCACGGGAGGAGGGCGACAGAGAGGGAGAATGTCCTGAGGGGATGCTTAATGGAAATGACGGTGGGGATGGGGGAGAGTGCGGGAGAAGGTCGGATGAGGAGGAGGGGAAGGCGAACAAGGAGACTTGGAGGAAACTCTTGAGAGATGATGTCGAAGACGGCAAGAGCAAACACAATCGCAAGGAAGTCATCTCCTCCAACAACCACTCCAAGATTGACGAACTGGTTCATTCCGCCCTCTGGAAGAAAATCACCGAGGACGACGGGACGTGTTACTACGACAGTGTCATAGCAAATATCCGCCGGCCTTCAAGGCCCCACCCTGTCTACGGGGGGATCCTGGCGGACGACATGGGGTTGGGTGAGTACCTGGTGAAGTCAAGATGCCTTGTAGCAACATGACGAACTTGAGCAGGCAAGACCATTCAAATCCTCTCCCTCATCCTCAGCAACGATGCTGCTCGATCCGTCGCCGGTAAAGAGCAAGGCAGCGAAGTGACGAGCAGGACTTTGATCGTCTGCCCTGTCTCCGTCATCACAAGCTGGGAGTCGCAGATTGTCAAGCATGTTGAGAGCGGGAGGATGAAGACGATGGTGCTGCATGCCAAATACCTGCAGAGACCAGCAAACAGCTCGTCCTCTTGCCGTCTTGCAGAACATGACGTCGTTCTCACGAGCTACGAGACACTGAGGAACTTGCATCAGAGATGGCTGCGACGACAGAACTTGACTCACGTGAAGAAGATGGGTGAGTTGTGAAGATCCTTCGCAACTCCCATCTCATCCTTTGTGCAGTGCGTCAATCAGTGCAGCAAGACGCCATCGACGATGAAAACTTGAAAGTCTTCGAGATGAGATGGTGGCGAGTGATCTTGGATGAGGCTCATGCGATCAAGAACAGGAAGACAAGAAGCCACAAGGCTTGTCTGCAGCTCATGGCGACAAATCGCTGGTGTCTCACCGCAACGCCCTTGCAGAACGACGTCGATGACATCCAATCTCTCCTGCAGTTTCTTCGCGTTGAGCCTCTCGATACTTATTCCACATGGCTGCAGCATGTCAAAAAGTGAGAAGCTGCTGCAGCTCCTCCTCTTCCTCCTTCTCCTCCCTCCCTCCCTCCCTCCCTCCCTCCCTCCTCCTCGAGCACACTCCTCTGCTCATCCTCTTCCTGCGCACTTTTTGCTCCTCCTCCTCCTCCTCTGACTGACTTGCTTGCTTCGACCTCTCAGGCTCATCAAGTCTCGAAGTTCCCTGGGGATCACCCGCCTGAGAGTCGTCATGCAAGCTTTCTGCCTCAGGAGGACCAAGGCCATCCTCTCCTCCTCCCTCCCCCCGCTCTCCATCCAGACTCACACAGTCCGTCTCCACAGCCATCACCTGGACGCGTACAACCTGCTCTTCGAGTCCGCCAGCTCCGCTTTCTTCGCACTCGACGAGCATGGGGGGGCAGCGGTCCTCAGGAGGTACTCCTCCGTCCTCGAGTGTATCCTCCGCCTGCGCCAGACCTGCTGCTCCTCCCGCGGGGTCCCGCAGCAGAGGATAGAGAGGGCAAGACAGGTGATGAGGTACATAGAGGAGAGGAGGATGAGGCAGCAGGGGGAAGGAGAGCAGCCCGCCGCGAAGCTCCTCACGCAGGAGGAGGCGAACAGCATGCTGGAGAAGCTGGTGGGCAAAGAGGACGACATGGAGTGTGTGGTCTGCCTGGAGGACCTGGAGGAGGAGACGAAGCGAGTCATTCGCTCTTGCCTCCACTGCTTCTGCGAGGACTGCATCCAGAAACTCCTTGAGCTCTCCTCCGACGGCCGCGCTGTGTGCCCGCTCTGCCGACAGTCGTTCTCGAGGAGCGAAGTGTTCTCCATGAACCAGACGCGGGAGGCCCAACAGACCCTCGCTCGCAACATGTCCGAGACAGGGCAGGAGGAGGAGGAGGAGGAGGAGGCTCAGGGTGAGTTTCAGCAAGGACGGGAGGGAGGGGCTGGAGAGGAGGAGAAGACGTTGAGCCCTAAGATCCATGCTCTCCTCCTCGACGTGCAAGAGGCTCTGCAAGCGGACAGCTCAGTGAAGTCTGTGGTCTTCTCCAACTTTCTCTCCTGTCTGGACGAGACGGAAGGCGCCATGCTCTCTGCCGGCATCCCGATCTACCGCATCGATGGCAGAACCAGCATCCTCCAGCGCCGAAGGTTGATACAGGACTTTGAAGCTGCTCCTCACGGCGCCGTCCTCCTCCTCAGCACCAAGGTCAAGTTGCTTCCCTTTCTGCTCCTCGTTCTTCCCTTGCCCCCCAACCCCAACCCCAACCCCATCCGGCCGTTGCCCCTCTCTCCCGACTATCTCTCCTTGTCGCCTCTTCTCGTGTCTGCTCTTCCATGCTCTCCCTTCCTCCTCTGCTGTCCTCTCCTCTTCCTCCCTCCCGCTGATCCGCACGCAGGTCGGAGGCGTCGGCCTTTCTCTCACCATGGCCTCGAGAGGCTACATGATGGAGCCATGGTGGAACGCCGCGGTAGACGAGCAGGCGATGCATCGGCTCCACCGCATCGGGCAGACGCGTCCTGTGACCATCATCCGCTACATCTGCGAGGGAACCATAGAGCAGAGGATCATGGACATGCAGGAGAGGAAGGATTGGTTGGGGAAGGCGGCGATGATGAGGATGGAGGCAAGCGAGCTGCAGGAGATGCGGCTGCGGCAGTTCAGAACGCTGTTCATGAGGTAGAGGAGCTGCAGGAGGAGCGGGAAGGAAGAAAGCGTGGAGGAGGGAGGGGATGAGAACGGAATAGAGACTCTGCTTCCTTTGCCCCGATGTTGGTAAATCCCTTCATTTCGAACATTTACATCTTGCAACGTGAATGCTCTGGTATCATTCTTCCGCCTCCTTCCCTGCCTCCCTCTGCTCCTCATCCTCCCTGCTTTCCTCTCTTGCTCACCCTTCCTCTCTCCCTCCTACTGTCTCTTCCCAACGCTCCCCCCATCTTCCCATCTCCCCAAATCCCTCTCTTCCTCATTATCTCAGCCTCTCCCTTCCTCCCTCCCTCCCTCCCTCCTCCCTCCATACCGCTCTTGCTCTCGCATTCTCTTTCTACCTCCCTTCTTGCTATCTTATCTGCTGTTCTATTCTGTTCTGTGCTGTGCTGTGCTGTGCTCTTCCCCTCCCCTCCCTTCACGTCCCCTCCCTTCACCTGCTCTGCTCTTCTCTGCTCTCACCTCGTCCTTGAGTGCGTACTGACATGGAAGGTGAACATTTACAATAGAAGTAGGTAGGGTACACACCCCTACCCCCCTTCTCACCTTGAAGTACCCACAGATTGTCTGCCTAAATATCTTTGAAAACCCTCCAATGACGGGGTGGTGAACGTACTTGAAACGCACATGCAAATGTTGACAGGCAGGGAAGGGGGAGAAGAGGGAAGGGAGGGAAGAAGGAGCGAGAAGAGAGAGGAGGAGGTGCTACACTCATAAGGAGGACAAGAGCAGGAGGATCAAGCAACTTTCCATCTCAGCATTCTTGACATACTGACTTGACACGTAGGGTTGGAATGGAATAAGGAAGCAGGGGCAGGAAAAGTTCTCGTGTCAGCATGGTCAGATACCGCTCGGTTATCTCTTTCTTATGCGTCCTCCTCGTTCTTCTTGCCAGTCAGCATCAGGCTTCAGCGTTTGTTCACCAAGATCCTGCATATTCATTCGTGGAAACTCAAACGCAACCAAGGGCGTTCAGCAATGTTCGCAACATTTTCCATAGAATGGGCGGGAGCATCACACACAAGCTTGCGGCTCTCTCTGCCTTCCAGCTGGCTCCTGGTCAGTTTCCTTACCTGCCCATGGACCGTCTGGATGAAGCGAGGAGTCATATCAACTCGAGGATTCGCCATGCGCATTGGCAGCTCAAGAGCTTTGTTGAGACGATCCCGGACACGTTGCAAACGGCGCACAGCCATGGCATCCTTGGCCTTCTGAGGGAGAAGCTCAAGAAGTCAAGCCATCTGCCTTGTCTTGATGTGACCTTCCTCGACTCCTCTCCCTGACCTCACTCCTTACCATCATCCAGGTTGCTGGCAGTAAACCAGACCACCTGAAAGGCTTCGAGTCGCACAGATGCATCAAGTCTGGCCCGCTAGCACAGCAGGTGGACAAGGTGAATGCAGAGCTGACATCGAAGGTGTGCAGATGAGTTGAGAGGAAGAGGAGGAGCTGACGACGAGAGGCAGATCTTGAACGCCTTTTCGAAGCCTGGGTGGGTGCCCGTGACTCAAAAGGATGGTATCGAAGTTTGGAAGAGAGATGCTTCGGACATCGAGACGGGAAGCTTTCCTCAAGGTTCCCTTACATCATCTCAATGCTGTACATTTGCTCCTCATCGCTTCTCTCACAAGGTGTCGGGCCGAGGAAATCTGGCAAGGGAAAGTTCCTTTGTGTCCGCGCGCGGGGTATCATTGACGCTAACATCAACGAAGTGTACCGGTGAGCCTCCTTGCTTGCAAGTTGTATGCCCAATGACAAATGTTTGCAGATTGTTTCAGACAAATGATTACGTTCTCGAGTACAACTCGATGTGTCAGGTCTCCTAACACTGCTCACCTTTCCTTCTCGACTGTTTGTGGTTGTCATTCTGAACATATCATGTCATGTCAGGAGTGCATTGACGTCGGGTGGTTGGATCCTTCCACGAAGTTGACATGGGTGGATTCTCGCATGCAGCCCCGTCCTGAGCTCGTTCTGACTTCAAGAGTTCCAGGCGTCTAGCAAGCGCATCGGACCGATTCTTCCAAGGGACTTCGTGACGAGGTGCCACTACAGGCGGTTGAGAGATGGAACCATCGTAAACTGAGCAACAGCCTCCCTCAGCTCGCTCTGACATGTCTTAGGTGCTTGCAACCATGAGCGAACCTCTGCCCTGCGAGGAGTTCCGTCAGGTAACTCAGGTCCAAGGAGGAAGCGACATGGCTGATTCTGTTGTTCAAGGGCGGTGAATATTGCCGTATGGATGTCACTCTCGGAGGGTACCTCCTGAGACCCATCGATCACGGAACCAGGACTGAGTTCTCCATGTGAGTTTGTCTTCTCCCTCCCGAAGACTTTCTGCATGTGACGCAAGGAAGGCTCTCGCTCGCCAACCCTGGAGGAGTGCTGGATAGTCAGGTCGGTGCGATGATCTCCAACATGGTCTGTGCCACAGGTGAGCGAGTACCGTCGACTTGTCAGAATCTTTGCAGATGTTGATGTTGGGAGTGCAGGACCCATCACATTCATATCAAGCGTTCGTTCTCTGACAGCAAGACTAAAAGGAGAAATCGCGTAGACCCGGCTACCTTTCCGGGTTGTATCCGATACGAGATGGCAACCTCAAGTCATCGATACGTGTATAGTTTTTATCATCACTCTTTTATATTTCATTAGTTCTCCATGAGTACATGCCGACAACATCTCAGAACACTTTGTGCTGGCTCAAATTCACTTCCTTCTTCTCGATTTCTAAAATGTAAGCCAACCAATTCTTGCAATAGTCGGGGATGATGCTTGCATCCTTGAGCTCTTTGCGGAATTCTGCGAGGCAACAGATGAGGAGCTGCTGCAATAAAGCTTTTACAACGCACCTTGATCATCCGTCATCATCTTGTTCAGCCAATCGTTTTTGCCCTCAGCTGCCTGCATCATTTCATCAATACCGTCACTCAACATCACCCATTGACTCTTCCGTACATCTGCCAGCTTGTGCTTGCAATGAACATAACGATCATGTACTTCGACATGGGAACCCTCAATGGAAGGTTTGGCATAGAATGCATCAAAAAGCTTGAATCTGATCAGCAGACGATTTCAGCAACTTGAAATTCCTTTCCGCCTGTCATTCTTTGTTTTCTTACCTCCACTTTGAACCCCAGAACGCCTTGCCGAATCCCTTGCCCTCCCTCTCCAACTTCTGATGTGCGCGCATGAATCCCTGTATGACTATACTTCGCTCAACCTGCAAATGCATGAGATCATTCACAAGGAAACGGACAAGCTTCACCTTCGCATCGTTGAGGATGGTATTGAAAGCCTCCTTCATCAAATCGTCGATGTCCATCGTGCCCGTTCCCGAAGAGGAGGCTCTTCTCACAATCATCGGCTCGAACAAACGACAGAATTCGTCATAGCAGATGAGACCATTGTGATCATTGTCCAGAGAATCTGCATTTCAAGAATGAACCCAAGCACTTGGAGGAAACACTATATACCGAAAATAATCTCCAAGTCGTTGACTGGATCGGACAGTTGAATCTGCAGGTTGTTTCGCAAAACTATGCTAAGCTCTTCCTTCGAGATTTTCCCACTCTGGTCTTTATCCGCATCCTATGGAGTCACATCAATCAATATGGCCAAACATCAACAGGCGCTACCTCAAAAGCTCGAAGAAGCTGTGCTCTCGCCTGATCTGCTGTTGTATTGGAACAGGCAGAAGATCTTCGGCGAAAGAACATGCTCTGTTCAGCTTCAGAAGCCATGATGGATCCGGTTGGGGGAGGCATGATTGATAGAAAGAGAAAGAGACTTTCACAAATTTCTCCTTGTTCCTTCCTGTTCAACACAAACAAAAGATATCAGAAGTTTCGCTCAAGTAATCACTCCTCTCATCAGTCTGTGAACATTTTTTCAATTCATCGCCTGATTTGTTGCAGGTACAGAAACGAAAGCAGCAGCAGAGGGTGAAGACACAACATCCGAGGCGAGAACAGGGCTAGACAAGTGCGCCACCGCGTCTTCGCACAACGATTGAACCATGTCGTGAGGTGGGAGGCTGGAGAGGAAGGATTGCGAGAAGGAAGAGAAGGTGTATCAGAGCATAACGAGTTTGCGATGAGCTCTCATCGCCCCATTGGGCCAGCACGGGACTCCGAGCATGTTGTGCGAGGGGTGGTGACTTAATCCGTAGGGCCCTGTATAGTCCTCCTAGACAACCTACCCTACCTTTGCCCTCAAACCACCCCCCTATCGCCCTTGGAAAGAGGGGTAAAGGTGCAACCAGTAGGTCATTAGCACTAGCCATGTAACCACCCACCCCCTTGCTTGGCAAGGCAAAGTCAAGGAGGCAGAAGGAATCGTGACAATACAGCACTTTGAAGAAAGCTTATTGAAGTTTTGTACCTATATTTCAAACTCAAGAATTGTAATTTCAGTTTTCAAGAACTTGATTCACAATTGTGACCGGGTACGGTATGAACAGCAGGGCCTACAAGACAATTCAAGGCTACTGGCACCCACCAACCTGAATTTGGCTTTGAGTACCCCTACCTATTCGTCATACAGAAAATCACCCCACCCTTTCATAGTGTGACCATGGCTTCGACCCACCCCAGCCGTCACTGGTTGTAAGGAGAAATTCCGGGCCTACCCCTTGTTTCACAGGAGTACCCACCCCTGATTGCCAAGGTACGGTACCATGAGCAACCCTACAAATAATGATTCTACTTGGACCACCCAGTGACCCCCTGGTTTCATATCTGAAAGTACCCCACCTCGAATACATCTGACTCTCACAATACCCCCGACCTTTTTGATGAAAAAGGTGAAGCGGGTGGCGACCACGATTCGAAAGAGAGGTCGCAACATGCCAAAATCTTTCTGAAACATTTGAAAATAAAAGTCAACTTTCTATTTGAGAATGTCAACGTTGGAAAACGACGAACTCTACTGGGGTGGGGTGGGATCAACTTTCCATCTCTTCTGTCTCTGATTTACTTTGAAAACACCTCTTTTCAGTCAAATTTCTCTAAACTTACTACCTACCCTACACACTATCCTGCGTTTTCTTGGTGTTCGGACCCCTCCTTGTCGAACCCCAATGACCCCTGCAGTACCCCCCATTCTCCCTCAGTCAGCTGGGTCCCCGGTCAACCCGTTGTCTCTTCTACTCTTTTCAGTTAACTTGAATAATTTTGGATCCGGAGATGCCGTCGGGCCCCCGGGCCCGCCCCGTCAGTGTCGGGGGCAACAACAGGCGCAGCTGCGGGCGCAACTTCGATTCGGTGACTTCGAGTACCGTTACCAACCGTTACTTGAGCTCAAAGGGCGGAACCGTACTGGCCCGGTGTGGTCAGGCCCGGGCCTCCCGGACTAACTAGTCTTTACTCAAAGTTAAGTTAAAATCAGTACGAGGACAATCAGACCCAGAGAGACGGTGACTCTCACTATCGCAGGCTCGATTTCCGGAATGTTCACTGACTTGAACTCACTGTCGAAGCTTTTCAGAGCGAGAGGTAAGACTCCTCCTCCTCCTCCTCCTCCTCTGCATGCTCTTGTTCGCGTGACGATGCTCTTGACGCTGCCAACAAGGGTCGCAGAAGTCAGCAGGTGAACTCAGTAGGAGGAGGCGACTCACGAGTTTGCGGGGCTGAGGGAGGAGCATAGCGTTGCTTTTCCGGCCGGGCGCTCATAGGAAAAATTGGCAATATTTTTTTTTTTCGAAGGACCTGAGGGGTCCCTTCATTCCATGCCAATTGGGAGTACCCTCCTTTGAGAAGTCATGTGGGAGGGTAGTCGCTCTCATGAAAATCCGATCATCGTTGCTGTGCAGGGCCAAAGAGGGGTAGGGTGATTTGAATTTGGTGGCGTGGACACCTCACCACGCCAAACCAATGTAAAAGTACGCATTTTAGGAGTATCTGTGGTACCAACTTAAAATTGCAGCTCTTACATGGTACAAAATGAGGGCCAAACTGGTCGGAACTTCGACTTCCGAGAACCCCTCCATTTGACTGTTGTTGGGGGGTAGGGTAGGCATGGAGCACCCTCAACCACCCACCTTTGAAAGAATTTGAAACTGTGTAATAGGGGGTGGGGGGTAGCCCCCTTTTCTCATTCCCCAAGCCCCCTCTCCCTGGACGAGCAAGAGGCGATGAAATGGTGCCTTCCTGACTCGCGAGGATGAACCTTGATATTGAGGGACTTCGAATCCAACCCAACTGAGATAGGAATGAGATGAAGATCTCATATCACATCTGTAAGAGATGATCGAGCTTCTTTCTCAACTCTGCAGGTTGGGCCAAGGTTTGAATCATCCAGCGTGTAATGTAATATGTGCCCTTGGTTCATACAATCCGCGAGTGTACTTGCAAATATGCTTCGAAGACATGATGACATTTTTATGAACAGGTAAGGAACTAATAATGGATACACCATTGAACAGAATCAACTCTGATTGACCCTTCTTTCAAATTGCAGTGCGTTGCACGTTGCGCTCAAATGCATGATTTATGAGAAATTTGTATTCAACTGTACCTTGAGCGACTTTTCTGTCTAACAATATGTTCTCATGTCATCGCTCACTTTCAATTCTTCTAGTCTTACGGTCAGGATTCATGCACTTCACTTTTCTACAGAGGACAGGCTCACACGCACTCAACCGTTCAACGGTGCATGAAGAGACGTTTGCAAAAAGGATGACTTCACCTGCTCGCATAGATTACTGTAGAGAATTGTTGTTGATCATGAATCACTATATCCATGATCAAGTGCATTGACCATTGCATTTCCATGTTTCATGACGTAGGATGATTTTTCTGCACTTGGATTTCTTCCTCAGTCATGATGTTTCCACAACGCTTCAGAAACCTAGTCAGAAATGAAACAATGTGCAGATAAATTTGAGCATCAATAAAAATAAATGAGATGTTCTTCGAATCAATCCTGCCTTGTTTTGACGGTTCGCAATGCTGCCGTGCAGTTGTAGAGTTCTTGTCGCATGTGGCACTACAGAGGAGTGCCTTGTTCAACAGAACAAGCACTCGGTGATTGTAAAAGGATCACAAACGCTGTGAATCAATAAATAGAATTCCACATCCAGGGTATCACATCTTTATTAGAAGAGTTTCAATCAGGGTAAAAGCACAACCGACCTCCTTGTAATCAAGAACACGTTCCATCTTTTGCCTTGCGAAGGTGTATCTATGTGAACCAAGAAGCATGTGACATGTGGCCACATCATACATGCTCTACGGCCTGGAATATTGGCATCTTCAAAAGTGCTCATGTTTGCGTTGAGATCATCTGCTTGGCAGCGGCTCATTGATGAACAAAATCCGATGCAAGTTCACACCAGTAATATTTAGATGATGCATCATGTGATCAAATGGCATAGACCTTGGTGATTTGCAAAATGTTTCATCGTTCAAACACGTCCTTGAAAATCAGATGAAGAATCCTTCACGAACCACGGGACTTGCTTGTCCGACATCATTCGACAGCACTGCGGATCATGGTTGTTTCAAGCAGTCGAGCAGCTCACTGCTAAAATGCACCGTGCATTATTTATTGGCATCTTCTTGCGAGACTATCAGACATAGTCGTGCAGATATGTGTTCTTGAGCTCACAGGTGACCGTACAGCTTTTGAACAATCCAGTCACCATCTGATGATGATTCCCTGTCGTCTTGTGTGTAACCTCCATCCATTTACTCCAACTCAGTTTCCCTGTCATGCATCACAGATAGCTTAGGGTATTTTACGCTTTGGTTTCGATTGCAATGTAACCCTGTGATGGTGTTTTCACTTGTATTATTCATGCTCTTCGCTTACCAAACGATTTTTCGTGAGATTCACGAGCTCTACCAAGCACTCCTCAAGGATCATCATCTCTACACCTCAGGAATTTCCCATGAGTATGTTCGGTGAACATCTGACATCTGCACACGCTGCCGCGGGCTTGCTGTTTGCGAGCCATCGTTAGGGCAGTACAGAGCGGTGCGACGTGCCCCGTGCAAGGGGAGGCTCATGGCGTGTAGGGGGAGTTTCAAACTTGTTTATAAATTTGTACCACAAGAAGGCTTTACAACTAAGTTGGTAGACTACCCCACGATCTGACTGTAACTTGTGGGGTGTAGCCCTACTTCTCTGTTTATACTCAACCATTACACAATACAGTCTAAAATATCTTATTGGAAAACAAAATGAGAATTATAAAGCTGAATTCGAACCCTATTTCAGATTCTCAAACACGCCACCCCCAAATCTACCTAGAAAGCAGAACAACCCCCCCACGGGAAAGCATACAGCCCAAAACAGACAAATCAAAATGTCAACGCTATGACGGGGTGAGATCGCGCAAGAGGACTGAAGCTAGTGGACTTTCCATCGACAGATGCTGCAGCAGCAACAGTCAAGGAATGATACTCAAGGAAGCGCTGGAGCTGCACAGACCTCATGCCTCCTCCTCTGCGCCTCTTCGATTAGCTGCTGGAGACGAGCTGACGGGCTCGAAAGGCTTGCTCGGGCTCGCGCAGTGAGGGATGGACGGGAGTTCGAGGCCTCTGAAGGATGCGGCGACTGACCCGCTGTATGCCTGCTGCCCGCCAACGATGCACGGGAGGGGGGAGACGCGGAGCCTTCCTCCTTCCTCGCCTGCAGTTCAGCCTAGGGGCACACTGAGCCGGAAAGTTGAGGACGGGAGGGGTTTACCTGCAGCTGAGAAATGATGTTGTCTTTCTGTGTGATGACGTCCTGTCATGTCGACACTTCAGCTCCCAACGAATGGGAGAAGATGGGGGAGACCTGGAGGCGAGATATCTCTGTCGAGCTGGAGGAGAGCCGGGCCTGTAGGTCCTTGTGCTTTCCCTGCGGAGGAGGAGGGTGAGGGAAGGGAGAGCGTTCGAGGTTCGACCCTCCATCACCGTTAGCTCGCTGATCTTGGCCTGGGACTTGTGACGGACGTCATTCAGCTCCGACTGGAACGGCTGTAAGCGCAGCGAAGACAAGGTGCTGCCGTGGCTGATGCACCTCTTGACTTGCGAGCATTTCCCTGAGAGACTTGATCTCGTTCACGTCCCCTTCCTCCCCCTGTGGCTGATCGGTCAGCGCTTGATGAGAGCCGTTGAACGTCCTCTGACCTTGGCTGCCTCCAGCTCCTTGATCTTGGTTTGCAACTTGAGAATCTAGTCCCATCGGTGAGTGTCAAGGCAGAAAGCGAGAGGAGAGTCGAGAAGAGGGAGGACAGGAGAGAGAGGAGGAGAAGGGGAAAGAGTAGAAGGGATAGAGGAGAGAGGAAATGAGGGGACAAACAGTAGAGAGAGGAGCGAGGAAGCAGAAGTTGATGGGAGGAACAGAATCTCGACCCGCTTCTTGTATGCGCTATCCAATTCCATCATGGCATCCTGCAGCCACAGTCATCACCGGTGACGTCACCATTTGCAGCGGGAGACCTTGAGCGAAGTAGCAGCCATGGAGTCCAGACACACCATGCGGATCATCTGCGCAGATCTCTCGACCTCCGACATCATCTCCCTGCTCTATGGGCACATCAGAAAGCGGTGGTGATGATGAAGGAGGAGAAGGAAGATGAGCAGGAGCAGCAGCAGCAGCAGGAGCAGCAGGAGCAGCAGCAGTTGTTGTGAATAGGATGTCTTGGTAGGACGGATATGAGCGCAGGAGGAGGAGGAGCACGAAGGAAGAGGAGGAGGAGCCATGCAGGAGGGAAGGAGAAAGAACTCCAGCGGCATTCAGGTGGTGAAAGAGATAAGACTCACTGTCTTCTTGACTTCTTCTAGTCCGCTGCTGATGGGAGCGGGTTGAGCCTCAGCTGGAGGCTGGACAGAACGAGCTGCTCTGCTCTTCGTGCGATAATTCGGCCTCCTCAGTTTCTCGTCCCTCCAAGAGAATTGAGGACTGAGATGATGAAGAAGCAGAGGTGAGCAGAGGGAGATGAGAGGGGAGAGAGAAGGAGGAAGGGGAAGGCGGGAAGAGAGGAACGAGGATAGAGAGAAGGGAGGAGGAGCAGGAGTGAGGGGAGGGAGGAGTTCAGCACGGAGGCGCAAAGATTGCAGTCAGCTGGCTTGTAAGGGATGGAAACGTTTTTGCATACCTCGAGGACTTCTCGACCGCCTTGTCCATCATCTCCTGAATGTAGCCTTTCACCGGAAGGCTGCTCGTCTGCACTGCAGGTTAGCCAGCTTGCTGGTTGCAATCAGAAAAGTTGTGAGAAGCTTTCTTACGGGCTGATTTAGGTCCTCCCCTCTCCCTCGTCCTCCTCCTCCGTCTCCTCGCTCTTCATCCTCATGGAATTTCTGCGGAGGACGAATTTCGCCGGACCCATCTAGAATGACACTCTGGACAGGCTGTTTTTGAATTTGAACAATCATCTGCTCCTCCTCCTCCTCCTCCTCCTCCTCCTCCTCCTCCTCCGCCGCCGCCACCTCCTCGTGTCGTATTGAAGCAATCTGCGACTTCTCTCTGGGTTCAGGATGTACCTGTGGCTTTCCCTCCTTCTTGTCATGATGGAAAGTTTCTCGTTCCATCAGAATATCTCGCAGCCTCTTGGGATCCTTGGAATCTTCTCCCCTGCTAGCTTCCTCCATGACGCGCTGCGGATTCTCCCCTCCCTCCCTTCCCCTCCTTTCGCCACCCTCAGGGCTCGCCTTGTGATCAGAGGACTTCGAAGGATCTACCAGACGTATACAGCTGTTATCTTCCAGTCGGATCCCCTCCCTCTCCCCTTCCCCCTCTATCACACCGTTCCCTCCTCTCCCCTCCTTCTCCGTTCTCTCCATCAGCACACAGTCCGAATTGCCTCTGCAAGACAGCATACAGGACTTCACCCATCCTCGCGCTCCACTGCTGAACTTGATTGCCCCCAAATCTCCTCGTACATCGCAGTGTTTCACTTCACAGTACGCGCCTGGTTCCACCTCGATCGCCGCTCCTCCTCTTCCTCCTTCCAAGATGCAACCGATTATCACCCACCTTCCCGCCCTCACTCGGACCACTTCTCCGTGCTCTGCCTTAATCACAATCCCTGCCAACTCCCCCACTGCTTCCTCCTGCGCTTCCCCTGCATTGTCCGGCACCTTCTGATCGTTCTGAAGTATCAGAGACCCGTAGAGGATGGCCTGTCCGTCGGAGAACAGCTTCAGCGGGCAGTGGAGGACCAGGGGGTTCCCAGGGATGGAAAGTTTTGAGGAGAGAAAGAGTGAGAGGCTCCCGGCCTGCCAGTTTGCTGCCTCGAGGACCTGAAGGGAGAATCAGTCGGCACAAAGTTCTCGGGCTTCCGCCCACCTTGATCAGCTCAATCCCATTCTCAATCGTCCGCCTGCTCTGCTTGGAAGGGCCAGAAAGCTCCTGGCTCCTTGCTGGTGAGGCTGAGACGAGATTCTTACCCTCCTCCATTTCATCTCCATCCTCGTCATCGTCGTCGTCGTCGTCGTCGTCCTCCTCCTCCTCCTCGCTGCTGCTATCTCTTGGCATTTCTCTCTGTGAGTATGAAGAAGGAAAATCCTCTTCCTCTGAGAGAAGTCGAAGGTCTGCAGAGAGTCTACTTAGCAGCTTCGAGTGTGTAGGAGGTGCCGGTGACGAGAACGAAGGCTGGGAAGGAAGAGACTAACCAAAATCATATCAAGATAACAGTATTCAAACCTTCAAGGCAAGCAACAGAAACATCACCTTGTCAGTGCTGGTCTTTTCTCCCTTCATCTCCTCCTTGTCTTGATTCAATTTCGACAAGTTAAGTTTCAGATTTGGTTGTTCCGCCCTCATGCTCGATACTCTTCCTGCTCCTCCTGCACATCATCGTCAGGGATCGCGGCTGGGAATCAGCAGCCTCTTGCCATTCATCGCATGCTCGACAGGCTTAACTCTCTTGCCCGAGTCACCTGTCACGCTCTGCTCGTGTTCGAGTCAGGAAGAGGCAGTGGCATTGACGATAGGAAGAGGACTGTAGGAAGGAGTAGTGTGTGGAATGGAGGAGCAGGATGAAATAGAGGAAAGGAGGAGGAGAGAGGATCAGAGGTATCAGATGATGCAGGAGGATGTACAAGGAGGAGGAGTAGGAGGGAGAGAAGGGTAAGAGGGCAGGAAGCAAAGAAGGGTCACATGGGTCTCTCGGAGCTGTACTCTCGTTGGTGGCGGAGGGGGCGCGGCGAGTTTGGTGGCAGGAGGAGGGAGGGGTGTGCCATGCACGAGGGGAGGTGGAGTTGGAGAGCGCAGGAAGTCAATGGAGAGGCCGGCAGAGGAGCTGTCCCTCGCGTGACTCCCCTTCCCGTCCTGGGAGTAGAGGCTGACCTGCGGGTACAAAAAGGTAAGAGGACGGGGCAAGAGCGGGAATTCAGACCTCTCGCGTGTTGTTGGTGGAGGCATCGATAGGATGGGACATCATAGAAGTAGTTTCGATTCCGCCATGCCTTCTGCTCATCTCCACTCCCCTCCTCTTTGAGAGCTCCAAGCCTTCACATGCAAGTTATCATAACTCCCCGCTTCTTCCCCATCATCTTCTTACCTGGATGTCTGTTTGCTGCGAGTTCTGTGGCATCGACAACCATTCTTCCGTGCTCGTCTCTCTTCGATCTGTTTGGTTGCGTTGAGACGATTTCGTCATCTCCCAGCACCAAATGACCTTGCAGAACTGATCTCCTCTTCCTCCACGATCGTCGTGCGAGGCGTGTCTGAGATGTTGCCCTCTGGGAACGAACTTTATCAAGGAGAGAGGAGGTCGCAGCAAAGTCTCTCACCACTCGAGTCCGAGTCCGAGTCCGAGGAGACTTCATCAAAATCGAACGACCATTCTCTCGAGGCCCCTGTACCCTCGTGGATCGCTGGCTTTATGCTCCTGGGTGGGGATGTATCAGCAGATCCGCTACCTCCATCTCCTTTGTCTCTGCTTCACCTCAGTTCGTCCACGTGCTTGTGCTGGTTCAATCTGCTCCAAGAGGTCAAAGCCTTCCAACTCGTTTCCATCCTCACCCTAGAGCGTCTCGTGGGGTGACTGGAGGCTCGAGGGTATTCAGAATCCCGAACGACTTCATCGGCAATAGTGGCGCATCATCACACCATCTTCGATCATCTACACACTACTTTCCAAGACCCCACCCTTTCACTCCCATCAAACTCCGCCGACGAGGCGATGCCAGGTACCTCTCCTCCTTCTTTACCGACGTCCCATCACCACCGCACCAAAGCCGTCTTCTCCTCACTTCGCTTCACGATATTTCCTCTGCATCCTCTGTGCGCAACTTCCTGCAACAACTTGCACCTCCTCCTCCGGTGAATCCTCCCCTCCTCCCTCCCGCGTCCTTCCCATGGATCCTGCCGGGCTCCGCTGTTTTAGACGTTCTCTCTACAGAACTTTGGCTTGTTCCTCTGAAAGAACAAAATCAACTTTTGAAGTTCAACTTTTGAACTTTGCACGCCTGGAACTGCCAGTGCCAGCCTGGACTCCCCCGGTCACGCCGGACTCCGGGCCCCGGTCACTGCCAGGGCCAGCCGGGCCGCCGCCCGGCGCCCGCGGTCCCTGTTGCGGGCCAGGTTGCGGGCTGTGGCGTCGGCCGCGTGCATTCATGATTGCCGGGCCGGCAGCGGGCCGGGCGGTTATGGTTCACCATCATTCGCGGTACTCTTCTTCTTGATGTGGGGCCATGGCAGGATTTCGTCTAGTAGGGCTGTTGGGGTTGATGGCGGCATGCACTGATAGCTTCCTCCTCCCTTGCAGGTCCTTCCCTCCTCTCCTCTTTATCCTGATCTTCACTCGTCCTGTCCTCCTGTCCTCCTGTCCTCCTGTCCTCCTGTCCTCCTGTCCTCCTGTCCTCCTGTCCTCCTTCCTCCTCAAGCCTTCCCTCACCAGACCTCCTGCCCTGACCATCTCGATTGAGATCGCTGATCGTGCGCAGGAACAGCTTACCTCGGATCTACCATACTGAAGCAGGTGCAAGCAGAGCAGTGGCGAAGAGCTGTATCATGAAGCAGGTCATCTTAGTCCTCTTCCTCCTGCTCCGATTTCCGATGCCTCAGACTCTTACAGGAAGTGCCGGTGACTTACAAGGGGCCGCTCCCCCGAGGAAAGAAGGCCGTCATCTTCGACATCGATGGAACTCTCTGCGACTCCTTCAAGCTTGCGTTCTCGGCGACCAACCAAGTCTTGACGAACAACAACTATCAGCCCATAGACGAGGAGCAGTACCACTACGGCAGCAGGTTCACCACCCCTGAGAGGCTGGCAACGCACGTGGGCCTGTCACCCATAGACGGAGAGAAGTTCAAGGAGGTCGGATCCCTCCTTGGGCGCGAGTTCGATCAGCTGTACATCGGGCTGGTAGACGAGACGACGGCAGGGTTCTATCCGGGAGTGCATGAGCTAGTCGCCTCAATCCCTGCGCACGTCAAGATAGGAGCACTGACCAATGCTGCATGCGAGTATGCAGAGGCTGTGCTGAGAGCGAACGGGGTAAGGGAGAGATTCGAAGTCGTCCATGGAGCCGACGACGTTCCTGCGCCGAAGCCCAAGCCCGACGGTCTCCTCCTATGCTGCCATGAGCTCGGGGTGGAACCTGGGGACGCCGTCTACATCGGCGACTCTCCATCAGATGGGCGAGCAGCACGATCTGCAGGGTGATTATGATGTTCATGACAATGACGATGATGATGGTATGTTAGTGGTGACGATGACGGCATGATGATATGACGGTGGTGGTGATGAAGGTATCACTATGATTGTGATTGTGATCGGTTTGTGAGTATCACCACCCTCCTTCTCCGTTCCCTGTCCGATAATCATGACGATATTGATGACGAGCAGGTGCAGCTCCATAGCAGTCACATGGGGGGCAAACAAGGCTTCTTCTTTGATCGCATCCTTCGATACCCTTGTGATCCTCCCGCTGTCTATGTGCTGCTGTTGACGATGGAGGGTGGCAGGTATCGGATCCTTGGAGCTGCAAGGAGGCTCTCCTGGGAGCAGAGCAAGGACAGTTCTCAGCCCACTTGCTGCTTGACCGCGACGGCGTGCTCAACGAGGACATTGGGAGGCCTGGAGTTATATCCGTGGATCAACTGAGGATGGAGGAAGGGGCGAGTCAGGCCGTGCAGATCTTCCGAGAGGCAGGTTGCCGGGTGAGCGTTGTGACGAACCAAAACTCCATCTCCAAGGGGATCCTGAAGGAGTCCGACATGGCGGATATTCACCAGAGGATGCTAACCGAGCTACCCGCCTCCCCCGTAGACGACCTTTATGTTTCCACTGGCATCGCAGGCTCTGGTGGATTCAGACTGAAGCCCGCAGCAGACATGATGGAGGCTGCGCTGCAGCAGGGAGGGATCGAAAAGTCCAGCACGGTGAGTCAGGAGGAGAAGGGTGGGATGAGGAGGACAAGAAGGATCAGATGGCTGTCTGACTTGGCGGCAGCTCATGGTAGGAGACAAGATTTCTGATCTCTTGGCCGCGCATCGAGCTGGAATACCGAAAATGGTGACAGGACGATCGGTGGTACCTCGGACCACCATGCTGAGGTTTCATCAGGTTCTTCTCAGCCGTTCCCACCATGGCCGTCATGCAGAATCTGTGCTCCTCGGTCACCCACATCTGCCAAGATCCGCGGGCTGAAATTCGACGCAGGTGAAACGACGACGGATGAATGTTCGGTCGAGGAGCTTCGAGAAGTTGTCGCGAAAACCAAGGTGCCTCAACAGTTTGATGATTCTTTCTATGATGAAGTTTGAGGCAGATTTTCACAAATCTCCTAACGGCTTCTAGTTGGATACTACAGGAATTGAGCTGTACGAGTCAAAAATCATTGAAGTTATAATCAACAAACAAATACAACAGGATGTTCTGTTTCCATGAGTTTCATAGACAAAAATCACTATAGCCAAGATTTACAACTTCACCGCGGTACCCTGTAAATGTGGTGAGAAACCAAGAATATAGCTCCGCAAGGTCACCTTGGACGCCATCGAAGGCCTCGCATGCGTTAGTTTTCTTTCCTTCGTGTTCAAACGGGCCCTGGCCTACTCCAGGTCGCAATCAGAAGATTTAAAGTGACATCGTGACACTCACCTGCTTACTCTTGGGGCTCAAATTTAGGTAAGGCTCTACCGCACAGAACAATCCTCCTTCATCTTGCTCGTTCCCCTCAAGCTTTGCATTCAGCAACTGCTCGGAGACACGTTCGTGCGCATGTTCAACACATTCTCCATCGCTGTCATCCGCTCTTGAGCTGCTATCAATTTGTTGTGCTTGTACTTCGTCTTGAGTGTGTGATGGTCGCACAGCAAAGCACTGAGGCAAATCATAAGATCATATCAAAATGAAAATGACAGTCATAAGTCCCGACCTGATCAGACGCCTTGCTTGTGCTCACTTCCAACTTGACATCTGCATCCTTGATCGGATCCGCGCATTTGATTTTCTCTGTAGGGCCTTCTTGGCTGGAGATTGTAGAGGTTTCAACTCTCTTTTCGTCATTTTTGGGATCCGGTTTCGCAAGTTCCAACTTGCTGATGTCTTCCCTGTGCAATGGCGTAAGCGAAGAGTATCCGTGTGTTTGTGTGTCTGAACGAAAATTTACCTCTCTGCAGCCATTTCCTTGCTTTGTACGACATGCGAGGTGATTTCCGAATGTTTTGATGCTGAATTCTCGCAAGTATCCTTCATGGATTCAGCCTTCAAAGATTCTGAAAACATCTCTGAGTGAAGGACTTGATTCTCGCCCTCATGATGATCGCTTTCGCTTACTGAATTACTGCAAAAACTTGCAAGTTTGTCGAAATCGCTGAGTTTTTTGTTATCCTTCGCCGTAGGCCTCACAGATTTTTCGATCAGCTCGTCTGCCAAGATGGAAGTCTCGCTTGGGGCTGTCGCTGAAAGAGCATTTAGCATACTTTCCAAGCGATTGATTTCTTCTGCATGGAATCTACGAACTTTGTTCAATTCACTTCTGACAAATTCAATATGCTGAGCTTTTGTCGTGATATTTTGACCTTGCGCAAGGCTTCGAGGAACCATCATCCTCGAGTTTTCAGAAATGTTGACAATCTTCCTTTGAATTTCATGATTGTGCGTCCTCAAGGTAATTAGATCTGTCTTTGCTTGCGAAAGTTCCGATGTAAGCTTATCAGAAGAAGCTGTCACTCTGGCGAGCTTGTTATGGTATTCATTTTGCATGCTTGAAACTTCTCCTTTGAGTGCATCAACTCTCTGAGACTGGTCGTTCATCATCTTTTCTAGGTTGCTCTCTACCTCCTTCACATGCTTCCTGGTATGTGAAAGCTCGTGATCAAACTTCAAGCATAGATCCATTGACTCCTGCAAACGCCTGGAATGATTTTCCAATGCTGCATCAAAATTTGAACGCAATTTCTGAGACTCAGTGAGAGTTGAAGAGCCCAAATCTTGCAGGTCTCTTGAAAACTTGCTCAAAGATTGTGCCATTTCTTGTTTAATATTCTCAAAGTAGGCTGTGTATTCCTCCTTGCTTCGTTTCAGGCTTTTGCTTGCTGTCTCCTCCATCTCAGTCAAATCTTTCCTCAAAGCAGCTGCAATGCTGACAAAGCTGGTTTCACTTGCATTTCGCTCCTGAAGCACTTGAAGGTAACGATTGTGCTCTTCAACATAATTTGCTTCCAGATCTTTGATCTCTTCTACCCTCCTCTTGACTGCCTCTTCTGACTCCATCAAGCTGCGTTCCATTTTTTTCATTGTGACCTCCATGTTTTGCACAGTCTTAATCAAGACCTTTTCAAACTCCTCCGAAGAATGATCGAACATCATCGCTGAAATGCTCGAAAGCGTTCTATAGACTAAATTGCATAATCCTACGCACAATGCAAAAACACCGCCAACAGGTACTGTGATAGGGAGCGTGAGAATCCCAAGGCCAGTTTTGAGAACCGATAAGAAGCGCGCTGGTTTCTTGTTCACAGCTCCATCATCAGTCACGGATGCATTGCTCACAGAAGGCAGGTTCTGATTCGAACTTGCAACGAACTCAGTTTCTGCTTTATGTGATATTTTGGATGGATCTCTCTGCCCATTGATTTGGCTGGTTTGTTCGAGGCTTGACTCTCCCGTTGTTCCCCGCATACGAGAGAGACTTTTCTCTTTAGGCTGCTCAACATAGGAAGCGGTATGGGAAGCGGTAACTGTTTGACCACCGCACAAATCTGTTGACTGGTACATCGAAGTCTCGTACTCATATGCTTGGCTCTCAGAATCAGAATTTTCCCTTTCTGCTTGTCCAAAAGTCAGAGCATTGAACTCCAATTGATCCTTGTTCATTGGGATGTTGAGATTTCGATTGTAACCATTTTCCCATGTAAAACCAGCTGCCCCAACAATGGCAAACTTGTACTCAATATCCTGGCCTTTGGGTACCGTTGCTTCACCATGCCACCAAGGAAATTCAGCTGGAGTTGTTTCAAGCTTCAAGGCTTTTGATTTATCCCATCCTCCCATTGCGTCGGCAGCACCTAATTTCCGGGGATTCAGATTGAGCCAAGATGGTCAAGAAAATCTTACCCAAGAGGACGACTGACTCTCCTGGTTTTGTATGCTCAACCTTCACTCTGAACTTAAAGGTAGCTTGATCCGAAGAATATTGTTCACCACCACGAATATGAAGTGCATGAAACTTTAGATCCAAGAAACATGAAGGTTAATATGATGACCAATACAAGAAGTGGAATACCTTGAAGTCGGTAGGCATGACTCTTTCAGTAGTGAGAGCATCTCGACCACAACGAGAATTTCTTTTGCATTGCTGTGCCGCCTTCGTGGTCGATATCTGCCATTTCCCTTCTGCCCCGGCACGAGCAAACATGGAGGGGCGATGTCTCAGTATACTCGAAGAAGTTACGGTACATAGCCAGAGGATCGAGCCAGACTTGACAATGCTGTACTGCAAAGTATGCAAAGCTTGCGTAGATTGAGCTGTCGTAGTCAAGCCTGAAAGAAACCAGAACATAAATGCAAGCATGCAAGTCCTGGGGAAGGTCGACATGCTGGCAGTTGGGAGTTTCCGGGAGAGAAAGGTACAATCAGACCAGTGTGCTTTCAGGAGAAGGGAGAAGGAGGAGCGGAGGGAGGGGAACAGGAAGGAGGGGGGTCAGATGAGGATGGAAAGAAGGGAAGAGGAGGAATGGCCGGAGAGATGGACGGGGAGGACACTGGAACTTCGAAGGGCAGGCGTACGGAAGGGCCGCAACTCTAGAACAGGGGGAGGGGGTAGGGATGGGGAGTGGAAATTGCGGGGTACAAGAGGGATCTTTGGGGAGGTAGGGGTGGTAAGAAAAGAGACTGATGAGACTGTTGCGTGTGTAGTATAAGGTAGGGTGGGAGAAATTTGGAATTGCAGGGATGAGTCGATCAAGTACCGGGTGAGAACCCATAGAAAAGGGGGTAAGGGTAGTCCACGGTAGCGAGTGGCAGTGAGTGCCTGGTCAGAGGTGGGGTACTTTTTATTGCGCCCCATTGGTTTTACCAGTCGAAAACAAGACTTTTCACAGTTAAGGTCTTAGGCGATTTCATAGGAAAATTTGACGGCCTCTAGTGTTGATAAGACCAAAAATAAATTGCTGTAGACCTCTGGTAGTAATGCTAGGACCGTCATAAGGATTTCCTACCCCACAACATTGGCATCACGGGCCGCGCTAGCACGCCTCCTCGTTCAACACGCCCAGAGGACATCAAATTTGAAACTTGAAAACCTTAAGGCAGCTGAGGGGGGCTTGCTACCTCGAAAGTTGAGTGATGTTTAGCTTGAAAGTCACATGTTCGAGTGCTCTCGTTCAGTAGTAGCTCGGAACTTCAAACTTGCCGCAAGTTGAATCTGGCCTGGCCCAGTGGGCCGGAGGTTCCGGGCCGGTCGGAGTCGTACGAGTACGGTCGCCGGGACAATTTTCGAGATGACGCATTTGACTTCGAGTAAAATTGCCGCAGGGGCGATCAATGATTGAAACCGACTTCAAGTTAGTAATAGTAACTTTGAAACTTGAAAGCCTTTCCGGGGCTCGCCGCCGCGCCAGTGTCACCTCTGGCGCGCCGCCGGGCCGGGCCCACCCGGCGGCCGGGGTCCGGGAGGCGCCAGGATTTCGCAAAGCGACCGAACAAATGGAGGAGATGGAGGAGGTAGCAGGACAGTGAGGTTAGCAAGGGACAGGCAGTGAGAGAGGAGCCGCATCATGCTGAGAGGAGAGAGGAGAGAGCTCTAGGTGAAGAGTCTCGTTGAGAGGAAGAGGAGAATGCTTCTGAGGACATCCTTGAATAATGAACTCGGCATCGATTCCAGCATGAATTTGCCATCATGAAGAGATTTGTAGTGACCTGATTTGCCAAGAAGGGACATCGCACTAGCAGTCACATGGAAAAGTGGAGGATGAAGATATGCAGGTCGACGTCGAACTTGTGCGCCGCCATATTCATGTTGTCTCAACTGCAATGCTGCGCAAACATTGCCAGAGGTGAAGGAGCTCGCCAATTATTTGCAGCATTGCTGCACGAGCTCAAGGCGGGTAATTCCGACTGTACATCACGTTTGGTCCTTCGGGGAGGATCTTCGAATGTTATGTTTAATGCTCATGGGAACAAAAAGTACAAGATCGAACTCACTGATCAAGATGCTCTCAATCTTATGAATGATGTATCCGAGGAAGAATCGTTTGGATACTCGTCGCAATTCGAACCAGGCAATTTCAATGAAACCCAGAGGAAAGAGCTGGAAGGAAAGATAAACACCTTGCTAGAACGTAGCCTCTGATTGTATCATCAATTTGATGAATTCTGATACATGTCTGCTAGAAAACGCCACAGTGGAGCAGGTAGAAAACTTCCTGAATCATGCTATCGGTATGTCTTGAACAGAAGTCGAAGGGTTCTGAGGATTTGACCACAGAAACCTATGGAGAAGAAGAGGTAGACAATGCTGACATAGATGAGTATGGCCCTCATGTATGGTATGGCGACGATTATTGGAAGGTGATGCGGTGCGGCAAGCAAAATTGTCTTCTGAATCTGTTCAGATCGGAGACTTGGCGTGGTGGGATATTCCGTGGATTCAAAGACCACTGATCGGTGTTGAAACGTTGATCATGCTCCCATCAGGAGCTGATGTATCTTTGTTGTTAACCAACAGGGCAGCTGGTATTGGACGATGGAACGAGCATCGACCTCAGGTTAGGAGGCAGGAGCGTTTGTTCCAGATCCATGAGATGGTGTCGATCAGGGAAGGAGATCTCCCCAACAGAAATCCTTACAATCCGGACCCTTCCTTGTTCGCAAAGAAAGGTGCCTCAATGTGGCACGCTGTTGTGTTTGCTCATGAAGAGACTTGAAGCTCCGAGGACGAAGCGACCAAAGGCGAATGTGACGAAACAAGATGTTGCTGGTATGCTTGCTCTATCTTGAAGAGACTCTCATCCTTCGTCTTCCTCTCGCATTCTAACTTTCTTCTCCCTGAATGTTCTCACAGACTTCTGGCACAACTTCACTGTGGTATGCGTAAAATTCAATCTTTTGTTCATTCCCCCCTCCGTCCATCCCTCATGCCGCATTTTCGTCCCCTCCCTCCGATCTTGAATATTCATTTGATCGAGAGGCCATCAGAGCATCCAGAAAAGAGACAGATCCTCCCTGTTGGATGCGCCGGAAGATGATTACGATACCTGGGTGAGAAGCGAAGAAACACCTGTAAATTGCGTCTCAGTTTGCTCACACTCTGCATGTACAGGTTGCAACCTTCGACAAAATGTTGGACCGGAAGATTCGATGGGAGAGGTTTTCCTATTCCACCGAATGTGTCACATTTCGCGTCATCTTTGCTTCGCAGGAAAACTCCACAAGCTTCCGACACGAATGCAACGGAGAGACAACTACTTGTAAGAAAGAGAGACTCCTGCTCCTGTTTGATTGAAAAAGAGGAGCACGTCTTGTAATGGTCTCTGGGCTGAATATTCTTCTTAGACTTCCAGTTACGAGACTACTTCAGGCATATACGACCAAATTCGAAACTGGTTGGAATCTTGATTCGCAACATTCTTTGACTCTCATCATGTTCCTATTAGTGTGATCGAACGATACGGTCGAGCGTCCGTTCCACTCGTTGGTGAAGCTGAGATGTTGAAGTACGACAGACAAAGTTGACTCTCTTGACAGCAAAGATGGACTGGATTGTCAATTACTCAGGGACTGTCCCGATGCCAGAACCTGTGAGGCTGAGAGAGGTCAGAACCGAAGTTCTCACAGCCTTGTTGCAGAAACCTCTCGTGAAAGGAGAGATGGCGACGAGATACAACTGCTTTGTGAACATGATACTACGTTCATCTTTCCACGTTGACAAGGAAGGCAGGGAGAGTTTGAGGACATCACTCCGTACATGCCGGACGAAGTTGATGCTGTACTGGATGACTTGTCTGTCGACGAGATGCACAAGATGCTATGGGAGGTGAGAAAGATGAGGGGTGGAGGATGTCGACTGCGATTGCCGACGGGACCAGCAATGGTGGTGAATTTGTGAGAGTATTGATTAACCCGTTTGGTTTTCAGTTTTCCAAGTTTGGTAGAGTGAAGAGTATCGCTACACTTTGCGAGGTCTTTTCTTTGAAATCTAACATATCCATTCCTCACTTGTGACTTTCGTCATGGTTTCACCTTCCAATCTTCCTTCCCCTCTTGTTCTGTTCACTCACACTATCGTCACAGGCAGGGGCCGATCCGAACGCTGTCAACGAATTCAGCTGCACAGCAATGCACTATGCTGCAAGAGAGGGATGGAGTCCGGTATAGCTCTCATTTGCATGTCTCGCCTGTTCCAAATTCTCCTCCTTCCCCCTCCCCCCCGCTCCTCTTTCCCCTCCCGCTGCTCCCCCTTCTTCTACCATACCCACAACCAATCCCTCCTCATCGTTGCTGATTCCACACGAAGACGATTGAGGTTCTCTACAAGTTCGGAGGAGACTTGAATGTCAAGAATGAGATTGGTGGGTTTTGGAGAATAATCACTCACACGATTGATCGTCATGACAGAAATGACTCCCTTGCATTATGCTGCGTACAACAATCGCACAGCTGCTGTGTGGGCACTTCTAAGGTACTCTCCCATCATCATCGTTCATTCTTCCTTCCTCAGTCCGCACCTCCCAATGCTACTTCTCCTCTCGTTTTCATCTGTTTCCTCCTCCTTACATCATCGAGAATCAACTCCGACAAACTCTCTTTCCCTCGTTCAAGGTGTGGAGCGGAGATTTCTGTTCGAAACTACTTCAACTTCACGGCATTGGAGCTTGCAAGCATCCATAACTTCAAGCAGATCGTGTCTCTGCTGGAAAGGTCGGCAGTTGCTTTCTCTGCTGCCTCCTACTAACTCCCAGATCATCTCAGCTGGGGCAACGAGGGGGCAATGAATCAGTGGGAGCAGCGCTACGGGGACATGTTCCGCCGATCTCACGACCCTGTGAACTTCAACCCGCTGATAAGGTCAGTCTGATCCTGCATGGCGAGCCTGAGATTGACGTTGCTCCTGTTGCAGCAATCATTGCAGATATGAAGATGAAGGTGACTCCGCCGAGGCGAGGAAGGCCAAGGAAGCCGAGGGAGAGAGGGTCGTGTATGAGTCGGAGGAGTCGAAGGAGCAGAGCAGCGAACAACTGTTGGGCGATACCGGCAGCTCCGGCTCAAGCTACGACGAGAACACCACCTATGGACTCCTCACGCAAACGCTCAAGGAAATGAATGAGAGGGATTGACGATTGACGGGGAACAAAGATGTACAGTGAATGAAACAATCGAGAACTTTTTTACAAACATCGACTCGATGTCGATGTCTTCTCCACTCTCTTCAGGAATGAGAGATTTCATTACGTACACTTGTTATTACACTATAACACATCTCTGACGAGATAGCGCGCGCGTAAAATACACAAAATCGACATTTTTCCCCTGTGCTAGTCTACAGGAAGACGTACGGCAATGGAGTATGACGAATTATCCATCTTGTAGCGCACTGAAGAAGGGTCCACCCACAACACGCTGCAGGGTAGCAATGTCTCGATCTTGTTGATCCCCGCTGCCCTAGCGGCATCTACGAGAAGGGGATCGCATCTCTCGGGGGAATTGAGGACGGAGCGGAATCCCGAGGCTCTTGCTGGCTCGGAGGTGAACCAAAACTTTGAGCATCGTTGCGCAACCCTTCGCTGGACCGCATCTTCGAAGTTCCTAAGTCGTTTCTCGTCCACTTTGGCAGAAAGATGGCCCGCCCACCATGAAGCTGCCGCCCTGCACTCCTTGTCCCAGGGAATAACGTCTGATCCCTCGTCCTCATCGATTCCTGGGCCGTAAGGAGAAGATGAGACTCCGGGGCTAGTCGGTTCTGCTCCCTTAGCGATGGACGACGAAGACAGGTCCAGAGAAACCTTCGACATGCCCACGGCCAGTTCCCCTGCCTTGCTGGGTGCTGAGGAAGGAGAAGAGGAAGGAGAAGAGACAGGAGACCATGCTGACTGAACTTCTTTGAACTGAGGAGGCGAAGCTGCTCGCCCCATGGCCATGAATGATGTCGAAGGCGCCACCAGCATTCCGGCGGTCAATAGACTTCTTGCTAGGGGGGGTGGTGTTTAAAAACCAAGGGGTGGAGGAGGCCGACGGGGGTTGTGTAACTGTTCAGGGGTATAGATTATGCTTTATCCTGATCGTAGGTATGTAGTATAGGCCTATATATTAAGATCAGAATTAAGAAATCTTGAATGTACACGAGATGCTTAAGGCATGTGATTGGGTCTTCTATATGATGGGGTCGTTTTTCTTACCTGTGGGTAGGGGGTGATGGGACCAGTGATATTGCCGGCAAACTGCGGCCTAGGTAAGACAATGGAGTCGGTGGGTGGATAAATGTGATATATAATAATTAGTCAAGTAATGTAAAGTTGAAACTTTTTGCTATATAAGTGAATTGTTTCCCTATTCTAATTACAAATCTGAGCAAATTTATTGAGTAATAATTGAGAATCTTTCCTGCATGATGTGGATGGTTTACCCCTCCCTCGGTAATTTGGGAACACCCGTGGAGTTTTACCCCCTTTTGTGAAAATGCAACCTTTCGATGTGCACCCCACCCCATGATCACATCAACCCTCTTGGTCCTTTTTGTAGCCACCCGGTCCTGTTCCCTGTACCTCCTTAGATTTTCGAGTACTCCACGTACCCAGCCAAGATGAACTACCCTACCCCAATGGCTGAAATCACACACATCACCCTGTACCCATCATTCTATCTACCTCCACCCACCTCTTCATGATTTATATCCCTACACCCCAAATCTGACCCCACCCTCCATGGTCTCGCCACGGTCCCTGGGTAGACGAACCCTTCTTCGTCCGGACCCCCAAGATCACTGCCAACAATTACTACCCACCCCACCCCTGTTTTGACTATCATTTTTGCAAATTGTATCTGCTACCTGACCCCCTAGTCTTAAGGACTCCTGCCTGCTCGTAGGCATTTAAAATTAAAATAAACTGACCCACCTACCCTGTCACACCCACCCCATGGATTGCGCCCTCCCTACTACTGCTCACCAATTCACTGCACACCTACCCCATGAATCCCCGTGGCCTCCTGGTACCCTACCCCTCAAGTTGGGCTACAGCAAGATCTTGTCTTGCTACCGGATACTTATGAGACAGAAGGAGGGGTGGACACAAAACTTTGAAAATTGCATTTTACTGCTCAACAATTGGAAAGTTCTGTCGGTAAAGTTTGAAACATTGTGAGATAGCTTTTGACGATTTGGTGAAGAGAAATGAAATATATTTTCAAAATTCATTTATTTATATTTCAAAAGTTGATGAGGCAGTCGAAATCTTGTTCAATGTTGAAAAAGTTCTTCCTGTTTCAAACTAGAGAAGAAATTTTCAAAATAACTGTCAAACCCCATGAAGTTTCCACCACCGGTGATTTTTAGAGAGAAAGGAGGGGTATTTATATATTTCTAATGGACCCCTACCGTTCATGAACGAGATAGACTGACTGCAAGGGGTAGGGGCACCTTGCTCAGACGCCAAGAGCCGTCATGGTAGGGGATCAGGTACGAAAATGGAGCAGGACATGAGCATTGGATGCGGAAAAGACGGAGAGAACCAGACGAATTGAGAGAAAGTTGTACTTCATGATGCTGAGGGGAGAGGGTTGCAGTAGAATAATGTGTGCTGTTAAGAAAAAGGAATGCTGGATGCCCATATCGAGGAACTTAGGTGATAATTTTAGCAGCAGGTATGATGAGGAAGGAATTAAGTATGTATCAGTTTTTTTGTGAGGTCTAGTTAGAAAGATAATCCAGAAAGACAATGTTCTCTGTGAATACATTCGATTGTCCTCTGATCAGATTTGATTTTCTCAGGACTAGGGCTTTGCATACAGTATTGGACCTTATCGATGGCGTTTGAACACATTGGAAGGCGCAACATGCGGGACTTGATCCTCGCCACTTCTTTGGCTGTAGCAGGGATTGCGCTGATAGCTGTGAGCATTGTGAGTACATGTGAGATCGCGATTCTTCCTGTGACATGCATTGCAGACTTTCAGAACACTAGCGAACAGCGTGTCATCTCCTTTCGAAGATCTGCAGCAGTGAGGAGATCAACTAATGTTTGCAGCGCTGACTTGGTAGCAGACCCTCACTCCCCCCTCATTGGCATGTGAGCCAAGACAGCCAAGGGCGGAAGTATTACTGGAACAGGAGATTGGGAACATCTTCATGGGACCCCCCAAAGGCGGAAGTGCTGCACATGTGAGCTCCCGCTAACTTGTTGTTTGTGAAATATTATGTGGCTGAAATGATTCTGAAGAAACAAGCAACCGAAGCTTGTAGTCAACACTGATGTTCCTGGTATGGTGTCCCTCGATCTCATGGCAAATATCTCTTGACATGATGACTGCCCAGTAAAGCTGTATCCTACCAAGGCGAAGTATTTGCAGTCGCTAGCCCCATCACAGAGCGGTGGAGAAGAAGGAGAGTCAGAGGCTGGTGAAGAGGGCGATGACGACGAGCCCAAGATTCAAGATGTTACCGGTCAACCAGACTGGCCCGCTGACCTGCCCGGAGCCATGGGCGATGACACAAGCTGGATCGTTGGAATGCATCGCGAGCCGTTCTGGAGTGATAGCATGACTCACTCGTGCGGGTTGACAACTCCCTGTGAGAAGGGACGGGCAGACCGAGGCCATGGATTCCAAAAGGCCACCAACCCATGGGTGGATAAGAGGAGGACGTTCGATCAGTATTCTCAGAGTTCAGAGGCAGGCAAAAAGAATTATCCCTGGGATCCTAGCAAGGATCCGAAGTACTACGGCAAGGCTGACTGCAGGTGCTTGTGATGAGCAGATGAAAGTGAAGGAGCTGATCGACTGCGTTTTTAGTGATGGCAAGTTGACGAAGGAGTGTTTTGAGAAACCTTCCGATGAAGAGCTGGAGAAGAAGCAGGCAGAGTGGCGTGCAAAGTACGATGAGTGGCATACAGGCAAGGGCAAGGTTGTGATGATTGCTCGGGGTTTCATCAGAGCTCACTGGTGGTTAGGAATCAAAAGAAGGTTTGGAAGAGCAACAGAAAGCCGAAGCCGCTCCAGATGAAGCCAAGGTAAAAATTTCCACTTTTGGACATTGTCCAAATGTGGATATGTGGAGCATTTCTTAGTCTTCCTTCCTTTTAGAAATCATCGGGTGGCAATGCCATTCTACACATGCCTGACGAGGTAGTGAACCCTCAAATGTTGGCGCAAGGGTAAAGTTCCCGCAGATCACTCCCTGGGCGCACTCGTTGACGAGGGGCCAACTTGCCATGAAGCAGGCAAGAGGGCAGTTCACTGGCGGCGAGCCTGTCGTCAAGTCTCTCGGCCGAGTAGTTCACAAGATTCAGGACGACTTCGCCAGGTGAGTCATTCGAGGTGATCTGATCGGTGAAAGGCTGATGGCGAAGCAGCGCCAAGAACTTGTTTTCGTCCAGCAGCTTCACAACCTTGGAGAAGAAGTTCCTCAGGGCTCGCTCGAATCACAAGAGCAGCGCTTTTCACGCGAAATATCGAACGCCTTCTCATCTACAAGCTCTCGCCTCCGAACCAACAGCAAAGGTCGTTGAAGCTCAACAGAAGAAGATCAGCATCTGGGAGTCTCCGTCGTCGGTGAAGCAGCATGGATTATACGGCAAGAGCAACAAGTTCGCTCACAAGTCTCACCATGAAGTGGAGAAAGCTGCCCCGGCACAGCCTGTTCCTGAGCAGAAGCAGCTGGCTGTGAAGGGGCCCCTGCCATCAGTCAGATCGGATGCTGAATGGGTAAAGACGCATGAGAATGCCTTCTAGCCCTCTGATTGGACTCAACTTTCAGGTTCTTTCAGAGTCAGATGCTCGAGCCAAGCAGGCAGAGCACAAGGGCAAGGCGTCCACGAAGCCATGGGAAGAAACTCAAATCCAGAAGGGAGTGCTGCGAAGGGAAAACACACTGATGAATCTCGGTGAGGAGTGGGCAGTGAGAGGGAAAGGGTTGTGACTTGAATTATGCAGAGAGCGCTATCGAACATCACGACGACCAGCTGCTGCAGAAGCAGTCTGGTCTCACCATCCCTCAGCTCAAGGCGCTAGAGAAATCCGCGGGAGATCTTGAAAAGAAGCTGCTGGCGCAGCATGGAGGCAGTGGGGCGACGTTGACGACACAAGTGAAGCACAAGCTCAAGGTTGTCAGGCATCTCAAGGCCAAGGTGATGGCGACGCTGTCCAAGAGGGAGAAGGAGTTGTTGAGTGAGAAGGCTGGATGGAAGAGCGAGAAGGACCTCGACCAGGCCGAGAAGTTCGCTGAGAATCTTAGCCTCGAGATCAAGAGACGCCGAGCTGAGGAGAAGCTTCATCCTCTCATCCCCAAGGGTGTCTTGAGCAGCGTCAAGACCCCGACAGACGAGGCGAAATCGGAACCTTCTCACCATCGCAAGGTAACGCACAGCTGGACTGAGCTCGTCTCGTCTCGTCCCGTCTCTTGCACGTTTCTCCTTGTGACAAACTTGTAGGAGCAGACACCGCGCGCTGCTCCTGCTCCCTCGTTCTCCAAGGACCAGGCGAAGGTTGGGAGGAACTTGCAGAGCGGATGGAGTCTGACTTGATGCTGCAGCTCGAACGAGATGAGGCTCATCTGCAGCAGATGAACTTGAAGGAGTCGCAGCTCATGTCGAGGATTCACCAGGACCAGGTCAGTCGGTGAGCAAGAGCTGCTGGCAGCCGGTGACAGGAGGGTGCAGGAGAGGCTCATTCAAGACTTCGAGCAGAGCAAGCAGCAGCATCACAAGTGAACTTGTACATTGATTGAACTACTTACATCTTGTAAATCATCCCAGCCCTACTCTTCTTCTTCATCTCTTCTCGACTTCCTTAGCCATCGACAAGGACTGAGGTAGCGCCAGGTCAACCCACTTGCACGAGGCTTCCATGTCCTCGTCATGAGGCAAGGCTTCATCCTTCTCCTCAAGGGGAACCTTACGGGTGAACTCGCTCAACGTCCCACTGTCCAGCAAGAGATTGCCAAGAGCTGTTTCTGCCATCCTCTCCCCGCTCAAGTCTCTTGCCCTAGATACCCCTTCGTGCCCTTCCTCCGTCTCCGCCTCTCCCTCCTCTCCCTCCTCGTCCTCGTCGCTCTCGTACTTGGAGTGATCAAGCAGGTCAATATGACGGTCCTCCACTTTCAGTGGCTTCAGAGTTCGGACACGTCGCTGCTGCTCCTTCTGCTCCTTCCAACCTCCTGTCTCCAACAAGCCTTCCTCCTCCTCCTCCTCCTCCTCCTCCCTCTCCTCCTCACTCCCCAGATCTTCCTGGATGAAGTTCTCGATGTCCCTGTAATCTGCATCGTGCTCCCTCAAGGCGCCTTGTCGCCTATGTGCAGCCATGTGCCTTCTCATCCCAGCGCTGCCCGTTCCTCCCGTCTGCCTCAACAGCCTCCCGTCGCCCTCGGGGAGATTTGGCCTCAATTTTCCTCGCAGAGCGTCTCTCTGATACGGTATGAAGGTGCTCGATTCCATCCTGGGATGAGTCCGTCAGAACGAGAGGAGAGTCACATTGAAGAGGAGAGAATTGGAGAGGCTGGAGAGAGAGGGAGAGAGGGAGCGAGGGAGAGGGAGAGAGCGAGGGAGAGCGAGAGAGGGAGCGAGGGAGGGAGAGCTACCGTCCTTCCATCCTCTTCAAGATCTGGTTCCCCAGCGGCGTTCTGAAGCTCGTGGGGAGTCTCGAAGTTGCAGAGACAGGTCGCCTTCGTGCTGCCATGAATTCCTCCACCCTAGGGGTGACCGGACCCTTCCTACTCGTCTGCTCCCCCTGGATGTGACCGGACCTGGTGGCGGTGGGAGAAGAGTACTTGTTCAACACGGCGAAGGCGCTGGAGGGTCGCGACCGTTTGATGGTTGCAGTTGACTTCTCCATGTCTCGGTGCTCCGTCAAGCCCGACTGAGCCAGTTTCTTGACTCTTGCTTGCGACAAGTCAAAGTTGACGGCCGAAGCTGGACGACTTGGTGCCTTGGGGGGTAGGTCTTGGTTCCTGGAAGTTGCCACAGTGCGCTTTCTGCAAACAGACATGCACAAAATGAGTGATAGAAGGAGGAAGGAGGAATGGATGGAGAGAGGAGACGGAGGGAGGAAGGGAGAGAAGAAAGAGGAGAAGTGGGAGAGAGTCAGCGAGAGGTAGAGGAGCAAGGGGAGAGAGGGAGAGGAAGCATTGAGCGAGTCAGCGAACATAGCGTGTTGGTCGACTTACGAGTCAAGATGCTGCTGTAAGGTATCATAGAGGTCTCCCATGTGAGGGCTCGTACGTCCCGAGGTGACTCTCTTTCCCGTCTTGGCGAGGTTCTACAAGTCAGGCAGTCACCAACTACTGGAGCAGAGCAGGGCAGAGCAGAGCAGAGCAGAGCAGAGCAGAGCAGAGCAGAGCAGAGCAGAGCAGAGCAGAGCAGAGCAGAGCAGAGCAGAGCAGAGCAGAGCAGAGCAGAGCAGAGCAGAGCAGAGCAGAGCAGAGCAGAGCAGAGCAGAGCAGAGCAGAGCAGCGCACCATGGTAGCAGCTGAGATAGATCGAAGGAGAGTCTGGGTGATTTCGCTCTCCTGCCCCAGGTAAGTTTCGGCCACATGCAGGCCCTTCTTGTAAGCTTGAATGCTCTCGTCGAACTGCTTCAGGAACTCCTCCTCGACCCCTGAGGCAGCAGACAAGTCACTCTGACTTCCTCCTCCCGTTCGCGCGCGCACCGATGTTGTGGTAGGAGATCGCCAGCACCGCCATCTTGTTCATGACCTCGGGCGACTGCTCCGACTTCTGCCCCTTCCTCATCTACCACTCGTCAGGCTCCTCCCAAGTCAGCCAAGAGCGTACCGATCGTAACTCCTCCTTGATCAGATAGACCGCAGAGCGAGCATGCAGCAGGGCTTCTTCGTGCCTGCTCCTCTCCTCAGTCCACGAGATCCAAGAAGGGAAGGACACTGGGCCCTCGTACCTCTCCAGCTGGGACAGCACCGCGCACAAATTCAGGGAAGTGCCGGCAGGATTTGCCGCTGATCCCTCATTTCTCATTTCAATCTGCTGAGCTTTCTTGAGGTAATTCAGTGCTGTTCTCAACTTGTTCACCCTGACAACACAATTGAGCCTCCCTTCTCATCAGCAAACGCATTCACCTCCGATAGTAGCACGCGAGGTTGTTGTACGTGACCGCTGATACCGGCTCATTGTGATCCGTAAGAAGCTCTGCCTTCCGCAGCAAACCCTTGGCTGCCTCCAACTCATCTGCTCCAAGTTGTCAGAAGTGATGACGTGCTCGTCTCTGCCTTCACCTCGCTGCAAATGCTTCAAAGCCTGACCATTCAGCGAGTCGCTCAACTCCGCACAAGCCTTTCTGACCACGTTGCTGTCCAGACCATGAACATCGATGAGGGTTTGGATCTCAATCTCTTTCTTCCTGAACCCTCCGCCTCCTCCTCCTCCTCCTCTTCCTGCTCCCCTTGTTTCCGCCATTCCTGCCATCCAACCGGCCAAACCCAAAAGGTCCCTGGGGCGACAGCAGCACTGCCGCACATGATGGGGTAGGGGTAGAACTCGGCAAATACAGACCCTTAACAATCACCAGATCAGGTACTGAAAAACAGGGGTGAAAAATCATGAAGGTCACTTTCATGGGGTGGGCAGTATCACCCCCTGGTACAAAAGCAGTATTTTAGGGCAAGGGGTCAGTGCTAACTAGTAGTAACATGAGGGGAGCAACGTATCGCAGGAGATACTTCCGTCAGGTGACTTTCGTGCTCGGAGGTTCCGACAAGTTCCGGCCCGGAGCCTCCGGCGGCCCGTTTGGTACCTCAGGGCCATTTGACTGAGTGAGTCAGATGGGCAGTTGGAAGGCTAAAAAAACATCAAATTTGAGAGGTGGCATCCGGGAAGCCGAGAACTCCGACTGGGAATCATGGCATTTTACTCAAAGTTAAGTTAAATTGTACTAGGGAAGACTACCAGGGTGTGTGTCTTTCATAAAGGGGGAGGGGTACCAGCCGATAGTCGTAGTCTTCGTGAGGAGGAACGAGGGAGTTCGCAGGCCCTGAGAGCAGCAGCAGCAGCAGCAGCAGCAGCGCTGAGCAGCAAACATCATGTCATCCCGCGCAGCGAGTCAAACGCTTCCCGCTAGTATCCCGCAGAGTATAGAATCGGTAGGGAAGGCACGGGTTGCGAGCTGGGTGGGATCGGGACTAGGAACGGAGTCTTCGCTCTCCCAGAGGATCAAACACTTTGACAAGAGTTCCAATGGCAGCTTCGAGGACGACCTGAGGCTCGCTGACTGCGGACAACAGATCCGGAGCGGTCACTTAGAGAAGAAGATAGCAGGCACTGTAGTGACGTGGATAACCCAAGGGGTGGTGCTAACGAATACGAAGATCTGCTTTCTTATCGACGAAGGTGAGATCAATGAGGATCAGAGCGTTATCGACTACATTCCTCTGCATGAAGTCAAGCAGCTGATTGTCGAGGGTGAAAACAAACTTGAGACAGACAAGAAGCTTTGTCTTGTCATCCGCACAGTAGAAGGAGGGTACAACTCCGGGCGCACGTATGTTTACCGGATGAAGACAGAGGGAGAGTGCTTGTCTTGGCATGCAGACATCTCAAAAGCGTTTGAGCAAGCCTTGAAGAACAGCAAGAAGCATTCTGAGAGGAAGGCGATTGGAGGCAGCAAATTCAACTGGCTGCGGTTCAAGGCTGGGAAAGTTATCAACGCTGGCATGACAAAATCAGGTAAGGGGGAAGGGGAAGGGAATAAAAGCGCTCATGATGCTCTTGCAGTGATTTCCTTGCTGATTCTCCTGAACTTCACTGTGGACATCCTGGAAGCTGAACGCCTCCCGAATCCCTCTTCCAACATTGGAACCTTCATTCATGCAGCGAGGATACTTATCATCGCCTCCTTCACCGTCGAAGTTTTCGTATCAGCCTTCGCGTTATCGGAGGGTCATTTCAAGCTCTTCTACTCGAACCCCTGGAACCTAATGGACCTTATAGTCGTCCTCGTCTCTCTTGCCGTGATCTACTTCGATACGCACCCGCAGCTGAAAGTCCTCGGGCTCGTGCGGAATTTCAGGTGCGAGCAGAGGAGAGAGCAGAGGACGTGTGGAAGCTGATGACGACTTGGCTCAGGCTAGCGATTGTGTTCCGACAAGTCAAGAGCTTGAACAGGATCATGACAGCGCTAGGAAGGGCCGTGGTTCCTCTTCTCAACGCTTTCATCCTCCTGCTGCTCGTTTCTTGCTTCTATGCCATCTTGGGGACACACTTGTTCAAGAATTTTGATGAGAACTTCTTCGGGTCTTTCAGCGCATCGCTCTTGTAAGGAAGCTTTTGTCTGCAAACTTTGATGGAGGGTAGGAGTTCAGGAGAAGAAACGAGAGATGGGAGGGGGGCGTTGACGCAGGAATTGAGAGTCTTATGTTCAAGGGAAAGAATTGGGTAGAAAGCCGGAGGAGATGAGGAGTGAAAGACGATTGCACTTCGCCAGGGAAAGAAAGATGTACACGGACCAGTGAATGGATGTTGAGGGAGGGAGGGAGGGAGGGAGGGAGGGAGGGAGGGAGTGGGAGCAAGGAGGGAGCTATGACTGACTGACTGTGTCTTGCTTGCTCGATGGCTGCGACGTGATGGATTGGTTGATGACTACGGCGTTCTAGCACATGTAAGTGTAGAGGAAAAGAGCAGGAGCAGGAGACTGATTGAGAGGCAGTGTTTCAGATGATGACGGGGGACTCGTGGGCGAGTTCAGTCACGAGGACGCTGTTCGATGAGGTGGGGCCGGACAATGAGCTGCGAGGAAACTTGAACCGACGAGTGGCCCTGTTCTCGGTCTCCTATGTGATGATCGCGACCATAGTCCTGGTGAACATCGTGGTGGCTGTGCTGTTGGACGAGTTCATAGCCTCGGTGACAAGGGAGAAGGAAGAGCACGAGAAGCAGCTCAAGCAGCAGAAGGAAGTGGAAGCGAAGGCGTCAAGGATCTCCGGGGTGCTGGATCCTTTGCTCCTGACTATCTCGTCCTTCAACGATAGTTTGGACCTTTCCAAGCGCATCTCGCAAATGTACAACTCCCTTGATGCTGACGGGTGAAGAGGAGGAAGAAGTGATGGAGACAGGAGGAGCTGAATAGTTTGCAGAGGGGGGACTGTGAGCTTCAACGAGTTCAACCACGGGCTGAAGCAGCTGCAGCTGCCGACTCCGATCCATATCACTCTTGACGACTACGACGTCATCACGGAGGGAGGGAGGCTCTGCAATGCCAAGGGAGAGTTTGACGCCGACCACTTCCAGGCTATGTGAGGCGGTGGAGGGACGGAGGGACGGAGGAAGGCAGGAGGAAGGCAGGAAGAGAAGGAATGACGTCTTGCTCTAGGATCAAGGGCGAGTTGAAACGATACGCACAACGATGCGCGGCAAACACTATGTCGGAAACAGAGAGGCAAGAGTAAGTCAGAGCAAGAGGATTGAGTTGGGGTTGAGTGAGAGGAGGATGGAGAAGGAGGAGGGGTGAGAGGTGAGGTGCTGAACGTTGTGGGGCAGGGAACATTCCATCCTGTTCATTCTGAAGCTCCTAACGATGACCGTCGAGGAGATTCATGCGGGGATGAAGCACTTGGAAGACCAGCAGGCGGCATTGAGGCGAGTAGGCGAGGAGCTGAAAGCGAGCAGAAGAGAGCAGAACATTCAACACATGGAGGTTTGCGAACTGCTACAGCAGGTGATACAGAAGATGGGGTTTGAGGCGTCGAGACAGCAGTTGTCGAGCACGTCAGGCCCTGTGAGCTATCCTCCTCGCTCCTCCTCGCTCCTCCTCGCTCCTCCTCGCTCCTCCTCTCCCCCCCTCGCTTCCACTGCCCCACTTGAACTCACTCGTTCGTCCGCAGAGCAAGAGAGAGGTGACTCCTGCCACGGTGCGTTAGGGAGCCAGCAGCACGTCCAGCTGACCGTTTGACAGGCGGTAAGGCTGCCAGAAGTCCAGCTGACAGACTCCAGAGAGGTCGAGAGCCGCTCCGATCAGGTACCGCGAGGAGGCAGGGAGTGAAGGAGCTGATCCCCTTCAGAACCTCTACAGCAACGTGTGCTTCCCTCCTACCCCGAGGATGAGCAGCAATGAGAGAGCGAGAGCGAAGGGGCGGGGGAGCGAGCGAGTCCCCCCGGCCTCCAGCGTTTCTGTAAACGACTGTAAGGGTCAGGTCCTAACCTTGAAGATCGCAAACCCCAGGAAGCTCCCGAGGGCCCAGCCGTCGCTTCTTCAAGCAGAGAAAACAGAGGAGCAGCTGCACTTTAGCCAGGGCAGCGAGAGAGAGCGAGACGAGAGGTCGAAGACAGAGAGGGTCGCTCAGCTGACGCTGCACAACGGCAGCAAGGAGGGGAGAACATCGCGTTCGCGGTTGGCGGCGGAGTTCCTGCTGGTGAGTCAGCAAGGAAGAGACGAGGCCGCCAAGGTGAAGGGCAGGCGTTCAGGTCAGAGCCAAGTCAAACTGCCTCACTTGTCCTCCGCCGAGTAAGAGTCTGATATGTAGTTCAGTAGTGAACACCTAACAGTGACTGCTGCTATCCCCGGGTCGGGGGTTACTAGTTAGACCGAAAGGCCGCGTGACTCTGAGATTCCTGGCCCGAACTGACGAAAAGTAACTTTTCCTTGGTTTTTCCTGGGCGAAAGCCAACAGCCTCGGAAGTTTTTAAACCGTTGAACAGTAATGCGGCCCGGTTCAGGGCCCGGCCCGGGGGCCGGTTCTGTGCCGGTTCTGCCAGTGACTGAATCGGGATCAGGGGAGGGACGAGGGGCCGTGGTCATGAGGAGGGATGAGGGATATGGGGTTAAGGATGAGGTTTTTTATGGGAGTGAGGGCGTTGGAGACGGAGAGTATGCAGAAGAGCGAGGGAGAGGACAAGAAGAAGAGCGAGGGAGAGGACAAGGAGAAGAGGGAGGGAGCAAGCGAGTCAACGAGGGATGGAGGGTGGACCCTGGGATCGACTGCAGGAAAGTGTCTCACATGTCCATGTACTGACAAAGGCTGTGGTACAGGTTATGTAGAGTGATGGCGAGCGTTTCATACAGTTGAAGGATGCAGAAGTGTGATAGTTCTGGATAATATCCATGAGACAACTTTGAATCATACTGGATGCCAAAATCATTGTTGTCCATGCTTCTTTTCCTCTTGCTGTGTGCATCAATGCCCACCAAATCGGAGTTTGCTGCAGACCAAGCATTGCAGGGTCGGTTGCATGGCCGAAGGTTGTTACAGTACTTTGGGATCTCAAGTTTCGACATGAGAGAATCGCGACTGGTGGTGTCTGGTGGTTGCCTTCTCGACCTTGCCACGAGCATGAACAGAGCGTGCGCATTGATCACCGAGACGGTTCCCTACTACTACATAGATCCTACGACGAGGACAATCCAAGTGAACCAAACTCTCACCACCAGTGATGTACGATGGGTGTGCTGGGGCGCGGCATACACCAACCCCTTCCCGAACATTGACATCTCTCTGTACTCGGACTTCTCAGTCGGCTATGGATTCAAGACCATGGTCACGTCCTGTGGTGTTGAGATCGGGACGAATTTCCTCGCTTGCTTCGGTGCCAACGATCCAAGCGTGTCCTCGACAGGAGCCAAGATCGGAGGTCAGGCCGATCCTCCTGCTGGGAAGTTCTCGCAAGTTAGTGTGGGAGGGCTGCATGCTTGTGCCATCACCAACTTTGCGGACACGGCAACATCCTACCGCTCGAATCTTGTTTGCTGGGGGAACAACAGGTCAGAGATGGAGCGAGTGGTGTTGACTTTGTGGATGATGATGGCTGTGTTGACAGGATGGGACAAACAACGGTTCCTGCTATTGTGCAGGTTTCCATTCTTACAACCATCAACTACACGTACGTTCAGGTTGGACCTCGTCGTCTTGTTCCTCATGTTTGGTTGATGTCTGTGCACCAGTTGGGATACGAATACTCCTGCGCCCTCAGGAGTGACAACCGGTTGACTTGCTTCGGGTCAGACCTGGACCAATCCCTTGACATGCCGGATCGTGTGCTTGTACGTCAAACGTGCGACTCTGAACTCTGAGTGACGAGGAGGAACTGGCAGGCCACCAACACGAAGAACGGAGGGTACATGTCGTCGGTGAGCATGAGGAGCGGACAAGAGGGATTATCGCGATCATTTCGTTGTTCTTCCAGGGCTCTTCATATGGCTGCTGTCATGATTGCTCGCAGTGCGACTGCTCTACGGTCTCCCACGCGGGTGCGAGCGGGCAACGTCAGCTCGCCGAGGGTTGACTGTCATACAGGTGTAGGGGCAAGGTGTTTGGAGCAGCAGCGGATCTCTGTCACCTGGTACCACACGTGTGCGATTCGGGCAGGTTGCGATGTGCAGGTGATTTGAGGAGGAGGAGGAGGAGGAGGTAGATGACACAGCCTCCAGTGCCAGGGCAAGAACCCAAAATGTACCTCAGGGAGTTTGAGCACCTGGTGGGCATCATGTCGTGTATTGATTTGTATTTGATCTCACCTTGCAGGTACGCCAAAGACACAAGCTGCTTCTGCAACTCTTGTGTCAGACCGCATGAAATGGAGGTGATTCGATCCCACGTGCTGCTCTCTTGTGAGGTTTCTCAGTGCTGGGGATACAACGCATGGGGAAACGCAAACGCGCCTCCTGGAAAGTTCAAAGTGGTATGTACTCCTCCATCCTCTTTCCGCGCGATCAGGTTGAGGGTGCCGGAACAGGTCAAAGCTGACGTGGACTTCACCTGCGCCATCTATGCTGAGTGCAACAACAAGTAATGAGGCTGGTCCCTCATGCCTGCCTAACTCGCTGGCAGAGATGTTCTCGACGTCGTTGTGCCAGGGACGGGAAAGTCTCAGTGCCAGCTCGCAAACAACATTGTGTGCTTTGGCAGGTGCGAAAGAGACGAGGGAGAGGGAGAGGGAGAGGGAGAGGGAGAGGGAGAGGGAGAGGGAGAGGGAGAGGGAGAGGGAGAGGGAGAGGGAGAGGGAGAGGAGGGAGAGGGAGGAGGTGGAAGGAGGAAACGAAGGGGAA